TCAGCAACAGCATCAGCATCAGCATCAGCATCAGCATCAGCAACAGCAACAGCATCAGCAACAGCATCAGCAACAGCATCAGCATCAGCATCAGCATCAGCAACAGCATCAGCAACAGCATCAGCATCAGCATCAGCAACAGCATCAGCATCAGCATCAGCATCAGCATCAGTATCAGCATCAGCATCAGCAACAGCATCAGCATCAGCATCAGCATCAGCAACAGCATCAGCAACAGCATCAGCAACAGCATCAGCATCAGCATCAGCATCAGCAACAGCATCAGCATCAGCATCAGCATCAGCATCAGCATCAGCATCAGCAACAGCATCAGCATCAGCATCAGCATCAGCATCAGCATCAGCATCAGCAACAGCATCAGCATCAGCATCAGCATCAGCAACAGCATCAGCAACAGCATCAGCATCAGCATCAGCAGCAGCATCAGCATCAGCATCAGCATCAGCATCAGCATCAGCATCAGCATCAGCATCAGCATCAGCGCATCAGCATCAGCATCAGCATCAGCGCATCAGCATCAGCATCAGCATCAACATCAGCATCAGCATCAGCATCAGCGCATCAGCATCAGCATCAGCATCAGCGCATCAGCATCAGCATCAGCATCAGCGCATCAGCATCAGCATCAGCATCAGCGCATCAGCATCAGCATCAGCGCATCAGCATCAGCATCAGCATCAGCGCATCAGCATCAGCATCAGCGCATCAGCATCAGCATCAGCGCATCAGCATCAGCATCAGCATCAGCATCAGCGCATCAGCATCAGCATCAGCATCAGCATCAGCGCATCAGCATCAGCGCATCAGCATCAGCATCAGCAACAGCATCAGCATCAGCATCAGCGCATCAGCATCAGCATCAGCGCATCAGCATCAGCGCATCAGCATCAGCATCAGCATCAGCATCAGCATCAGCGCATCAGCATCAGCATCAGCATCAGCATCAGCGCATCAGCATCAGCATCAGCATCAGCATCAGCATCAGCATCAGCAACAGCATCAGCAACAGCATCAGCATCAGCATCAGCATCAGCATCAGCATCAGCAACAGCATCAGCATCAGCATCAGCATCAGCATCAGCATCAGCATCAGCATCAGCAACAGCATCAGCATCAGCATCAGCAACAGCATCAGCATCAGCATCAGCATCAGCATCAGCATCAGCATCAGCATCAGCAACAGCATCAGCATCAGCATCAGCAACAGCAACAGCATCAGCATCAGCATCAGCAACAGCATCAGCATCAGCAACAGCATCAGCATCAGCATCAGCATCAGCATCAGCATCAGCATCAGCAGCATCAGCAACAGCATCAGCATCAGCATCAGCATCAGCATCAGCATCAGCATCAGCATCAGCATCAGCATCAGCATCAGCATCAGCATCAGCAACAGCATCAGCATCAGCATCAGCATCAGCATCAGCATCAGCATCAGCATCAGCAACAGCATCAGCATCAGCATCAGCATCAGCATCAGCATCAGCATCAGCAACAGCATCAGCATCAGCATCAGCATCAGCATCAGCATCAGCATCAGCATCAGCATCAGCATCAGCATCAGCAACAGCATCAGCATCAGCATCAGCATCAGCAACAGCATCAGCAACAGCATCAGCAACAGCATCAGCATCAGCATCAGCATCAGCAACAGCATCAGCAACAGCATCAGCATCAGCATCAGCATCAGCATCAGCGTCAGCATCAGCATCAGCATCAGCATCAGCGCATCAGCATCAGCATCAGCAACAGCATCAGCATCAGCATCAGCAACAGCATCAGCATCAGCATCAGCATCAGCATCAGCATCAGCATCAGCATCAGCATCAGCAACAGCATCAGCATCAGCATCAGCAACAGCAACAGCATCAGCATCAGCATCAGCATCAGCATCAGCAACAGCATCAGCAACAGCATCAGCATCAGCATCAGCATCAGCATCAGCATCAGCATCAGCAACAGCATCAGCATCAGCATCAGCATCAGCATCAGCATCAGCAACAGCATCAGCATCAGCATCAGCATCAGCAACAGCATCAGCAACAGCATCAGCATCAGCATCAGCATCAGCATCAGCATCAGCAACAGCATCAGCATCAGCATCAGCATCAGCATCAGCATCAGCATCAGCATCAGCAACAGCATCAGCATCAGCATCAGCATCAGCATCAGCAACAGCATCAGCATCAGCATCAGCATCAGCAACAGCAACAGCATCAGCATCAGCATCAGCATCAGCATCAGCAACAGCATCAGCATCAGCATCAGCAACAGCATCAGCATCAGCATCAGCATCAGCAACAGCATCAGCAACAGCATCAGCATCAGCATCAGCATCAGCATCAGCATCAGCAACAGCATCAGCATCAGCATCAGCATCAGCATCAGCATCAGCATCAGCAACAGCATCAGCATCAGCATCAGCATCAGCATCAGCATCAGCATCAGCAACAGCATCAGCATCAGCATCAGCATCAGCATCAGCAACAGCATCAGCATCAGCATCAGCATCAGCAACAGCATCAGCATCAGCATCAGCATCAGCATCAGCAACAGCATCAGCAACAGCATCAGCAACAGCATCAGCATCAGCATCAGCATCAGCAACAGCATCAGCATCAGCATCAGCATCAGCATCAGCAACAGCATCAGCATCAGCATCAGCATCAGCGCATCAGCATCAGCATCAGCAACAGCATCAGCATCAGCATCAGCATCAGCAACAGCATCAGCATCAGCATCAGCATCAGCATCAGTATCAGCATCAGCATCAGCATCAGCATCAGCATCAGCATCAGCATCAGCATCAGCATCAGCAACAGCATCAGCATCAGCATCAGCATCAGCATCAGCAACAGCATCAGCAGTAGCAAGCATGGGACAAGCCCAAGGGTGAGAGCAGCAGCAGGAGGTCCCGGTGCCCCACCTGTAGTCGCCGAGGCCTCTCCTGAGCGCCACTATGTTGCGATACGCTGCCAGTGAGCTGCCACACACGGCACGGGGTATGGCATGAACGGACAGGTGAGCCCCCGGTGGTGGGGTGGCAGAGTGGTGAATGGAGAGATGTGGGGGGCAGAAGGGAAGGAAACCATGCAAGGTGAGATCCAGGGGGAGGAGGGGAGGGCGAGCGAGAGGATGCAGAGGGGCAACCCACAATGGAGCTGGCAGCCATTGAGGGGCAGCCGCACATGTAAGTTACTTACTCCTGCATGCAGTATGCTGCACGCAGCACGCCCACCCATACCAACCACCTGACCTGCCAGAACCACCCCTCGCCACCTATCACCCCCCACTTCCCTCTCCCCCCCCCCTCTCCCTCCCACCTCTCCCGCTGCCCTCTCCCTCCGACCTCTCCCTCCCACCCCTCTTCCCTCGCCCACCCCTCCCATTCCACCTCGTCCCACCTGCGGAGGCGCAGGGCGGTGAGCAGGCAGAGCATGGCGGGGGCGTCCTGGGCGAGAATGCGGTGCACGCTGCCCTTCTCCTCCCACATCTCCGCCATGCCCGCATGCCGCTCCACCGCCTCCTGCCACACCGCCAGTGACTCGCGGTACTGCCCCATGCACGTGTATGATAGGGCCTGTGGCCCCGGGGGCAGGGGGGGGAGGGGGTTGGAGGGATGGGGTGTGGGAGAGCGAGGGAGGGAGGAGAGGTTATCGGTGCGGGGTGGGTTTGTTGATGCTGCAATGGGGAAAGCAGGGGAGGAAGCATTGTGACCTCTGCCATGCAGAGCGAGCTCTGAAGCTTTCGTGGCGGTCGTACACGCACACCCACACGCACATGGCCACACATGCACGGCAGGCAGCGAGCGGCAGGGAGCAGGCGGGTAGCAGGCGGGGAGCAGGGAGGGAGGGAGAGAGGGAGAGAGGGAGAGAGGGAGAGAGGGAGGAGGCACGCACGACGGTTTTGAGGAGGAAGGAGTCCATGGGCTCGGCGCGCAGCACTGCTCTCAGGTCCACTATGGCCTCTGGGTGCCGCCTCAGCCGGTGCGCTGCCAGCCCTGCACATGGGGGGGAGACAGGGGGGCGGGGCGGGGCCGGGCATTGGAGGCAAAAATGGTGTGCAAAGATATGTGGATGGTGGATGGTGTGCAGAGGAGTGGGGAGGGTTTGGGTGGGGAGGGATGGGGCGATGGGAGGGGAGAGGGGCAACCACGTGTACGGGGGGTAAAGAAGTGCTGTGAGACGCGTTACAAGTCAACTTTATGGTCGGGGAGTTGGGTGTGGTGCGATAAGGAGAGCGGTGTGCTGCAGTGGTGGTGATGGCGGGTGGGCAGGAGAGGGGTGAGTGATGGTGTGAGGGGTGAAGGAGAGATTGGGGGGAGCAACTTGCCTCGCCATCGGAGAGCATCGATGTGGTTGGGGTGCAGGGTGAGCACTTGTGAGAAATCGTCGTATGCCTGCATACAGCACATGTTATAAGGGCAGCACAGCACAGGGCAGCACGACTTGAGCTGCACGGACCGACTCTTTTCTCCTTCAGTGAAGCTTTATAGTCCAATTCACCGCTCCCCCTGCCACTCGTCCTCTCTCATCACCAACAAACTATCCGTTTCTCACACTCACAACCACACCTCGCACTCTCCCTCGCACTCCCACGCGCACACACAAAGACACACACGCACGTGGCCCCCCACCCCACCTGGTGCATGAGGCCCATGTCGAAGTGCAAAGTCCCCAGATATTCCCACATGCGCACGTTGCCTGGGAACCTGCGCACGCCCTGGGGAGGGAACCAAGCGCACGGCGCACGGGATGCAAACATGGAAGCATGGGTCAGTCAGTTGCTGCAGCAGTGCAGCAACTCTCATGCACGTAACATGCCCTCGCCTCGCCTCATCACACCCTTACCCGCTATCTCCCTCGTCTTCCCAACTTCCCTGCTTCCCCGCCTCCCTCTCCCCATACCTTTCCCCGCTCTTTCCCTCTTCTCTCCCTCCCCCTCCGTTTCGCGGCACCTCTTCCCCCCTCCCTCCCCCCATCACCTCGCGCAGGTCTCTCTCCGCCAGCGCGTATGACTGCATCAGGGTGCGCGCCCACCCCCGCCCCTGCAGCATCCGCTCCCGCACTGCCATCTCCCCCTTTCCCCCCGACACCCCGGCGCTCTCCGCTGCTGCCTCCGCGCTCCCCCTCCCCTCCCCCACGTGCGCCACGCGCGAGAACAGCTCCTCCGCCTGCGCCCATTCCCCCGCCTCCATCTGCGCCCACGGCTCCGCGGGGAGAAGCGGCGGAAAGAGGGGGAGGGGGAGAAGGTGCGGGAAGGGAAGAGTGAGAAAGGACGGGATGAGCGACGCGAGCGGAAACGGGCGTTGCAACGGATAAGTTCCCCTCCCCCCAAAATTCTCCGCAGTGTCACGCAGCGCGCACCTGCCGCTCCGCCTCCTCCAAGATGTCGAGATACTCCTTTAAATCGCTCTCCACCACTTCACTATCTCCGCCTTCGTCGTCCCCTGCGCCGCCCTCCTTCCCCGGCATCCCCCCCTCGCGCGCATCGCACACATGCGCTATCCCTGCGCGTGCGCCGGAATTTTCCGCCTCTCCGCCAGCTGCAACCTCCCCCTGCTCCGCCACTCCGCACGTGCGCGGTAGCGCGGACGCATGAGACGGCAACTCGCTAGGCAGAAGCGCCAGGAACATCAGGAGGAGGAGCACTGGCCGGCGTCGCTGCATGGTGCTAATTGCGATGCAATTCCTCAACAATTCGCGGCGACTGGCCGAATGCCGCTCGCACGGCGGTATCGCATGGTGGGGCCTACTCGAGCCGAACACTGGTGGTGTCAGAAGGCCAAACACTTGGACGCGTGGTGCTGATTCTGGCGCAGCCCTGCCAGACCTTGAGAATTCTTTTCGCTATAAGTTTCGCAGCTCCGCATCAAACTGTGAGGCAAGCAGCACAACGCTGTAGTTATCCATAAACTCGAAATAATTACCTAATAACTAGCTTTTCATACTACACAAGACAGCCCTAGGACACCTCAAAAAGGCCATCAGACGGTCAGGTCGCCTTCCCACCTTGTGCCAGGATACCCTGCACACGGCGTCCATGACACGACTGCACAACATGTGCTGGTCAGCGTTTCAGCAGACACAACAATTTCCTCGTGTTCCACAACAAGCTACTCAGTGGCAGTGAGCTGGCACACAACACAGCACCAGGTGAATGGAACCCCGTCGTGGCCTTGACAAGAAAAAAGCCGTACGTTACACAGCACCAGGTTTCCTGTTCCTTCGAGCGCCGACCTGCTGTCCTTCCTGCAGCATCTTGGCCTTGAGGGGGTTCTGGGTGCGCAGCTCTAAAGGCAGGAAGTCCAGGTCAGTCACCATTGTCGTGTACTCCACCCACTCCCCCCACTTTCCCCCTCTCACACACTCTCCCCGTTCCCTGTCCTGCTTCTCCCACCCTTGCTCACCCCCGCACATGCCTCTGCTTTCTGCTGCCCCACACTCACCAGCCTCTACTCCTCGCTGCTCTAAACGCACCCCGTTGTTTCCAATTGGCCTGGCAAATTCTCCAGGTCCTGCTTCCACATCTTTCCCCACAGGCACCAAACCCCTCTGCTCCGCTCCCCCTAACCCATCCTCCAGACTTCCCCTCACCAGCCTCTCGCCCTCTTCCCCGCCCCTCCGCTCCACCTGCACCGCCCCATACCGCTCCACAAACCACTCCCAGAACCCTTCCCCATGCAGCAACTCCTCAGAAGCAGTCGCCAGCACGAGCCTCTTCCTGGACGCCATGGCCACGCGCGCAGCCGCCAGCAGCTGCTGCGCTGACAGCCCCTCGTGCTGCCGCTGCACGCGCAGCATGCAGGGCGCGTGCAGGTCGCAGGGGTCCGCGCCCCCCGGGTAGACCAGCCAGTGCGCGCCGAACCTCAGCCCGCACGTCATGCGGCAGGAGCGGGCGAGGAGGTCCGCGTAGACCAGGCAGCGCAGGCGCACCGCAGGGCTGCTGCTGTGGAGGAGGGATGCGAGCACGGAGAGCAGCGGGGTGCGAGCGTGCGGTGGGGAGAGGGGCAGGGAGGGGGAAGACGGTGGACGCGTGTGGCAAGTGCTGGGCGATGTGGCGCTCATGCCGTTGCTCACTCCTTCCCTGTCATCATCATGCCTCTCTCTGCCGATTGCTCCTCCGCTTTGACCTCCGGTCTGATCCCTACCTCTCCCGCCGTTATCCTTCTCCTTAGAACAATCCGCCACTGCAGCACTTCCATCGCATTCCCCCATCCCAGCCGAAGCAGCGTCGCCATCCCCCTGCCGTTGCACCCCACACCCTTTGGCGCCCAGCCACTCCGCTGCTACCTGCACGTCCCCCTCTGTTACGGGCAGCCGGAACTTCTCGCTGAACGAAGCCTCCCTGGCAGCGTGGAGGGCGTGTGGCACGGAGCAGGGCGGCTGGTGAGGGCAGGTAGAGGCGAGCACGCACGGGTGTGAGCAGAAAGACGCAGCCATCCGGTGCAACTCTCCGCACTCTTTCGTGTCATGCTCCCCCATATTCTCGCTTGCCCGCGGCACATGAGTTTCTGCAGACAGCACCAGATTCTGCTGCTGCGGCGGCGGCGGCGGCGGCGGCTCGTGTGTTTGGAATTCGGCATGCGAATTGAGATGCGCTACTGCTGCCGACCCGAGAGGCGAAGCGCGCTGGTCAACGGAAGCCACAACGCCTGCCGCTGCTACTGAACCCGCTGGTGGCGGTAAATGGAGAGTTTCGCAACCAGAGGAGTTCGGGCGAGATCCTTCTTGAAATCTTCGTGAAGAGCTAGGGTTAAGGTCCGGATGTGTTACAGGGGATGGTCTCGAAGGCGAACGGACAAGATTTGGCGACTGATTGAATGCGATGGACTTTTGGGGATCAGCGGACAGAGGAATTCTTGCTTTGACGTTGGGGTGATTGCCGGAGGATTGTACTTGAAGCCTCGCGACGCCCATGGTCGCGGCTGCGGCGAGCTCTTCCAGCGACAGCAGCAGCGGCAGGCCCTTGACCTTGTTCTGCAGCGCGAAGCCCGGCAGGCACCCCGCCATGGTGCCTACGATGCCATGCACCAGTCGAATCTGCTCTGCCGCCGCCACTTCCCACACGTACCCACCCGACGGAAACGCGTGAACCGTCACAGGACGTGTCGCGGCGACAGCGGGGAAGGAAGGTGGATCGAACTCTCGCCACTGTGCTCCTTGAGACCCGCTCTCAACCTCAGTCGCTTTAGTCTCGCCATCGCTCATTTCTCCCGATCTTTCCATTTCGTTCACAGCTAGCGATGGAAGGCAGGCGCAAAATGAGGTGCGGCCAGGAAGGAGTCTTCTTAAAGTGCGAGGGACGATGATGGATCAAGGCGTGGCGAGAGTGGCGGATCCCACTTGGGTCTGACGGAGGCGAGGCAGTGGCGAGAGGCGCATGTGGTGGCGAATGGCGGTGCTGAGCGCGGAAAGGCCCTAAACCCGCGCGAGTGCCTCTTCTCGGCGTGGAGCTGTGCGGCCGGAAAGGAATCTGGGGAGGGTGCGAGGGAGGCGAAGCAGTGGCGGATCCCGCTAGGAAGAGGCGCATGTCGCGGCGAATGGCGGTGCTACGAGGCGGAAAGGCCTAAAACCACCGAGTGCCTCCCCTTTGCCTTGTCGGCATCAAGCTGCAACCAGCCTCCAGCTGATTTTGAACGTACGCACTATAGGGGAATGTAAGCTATGCTGGTGTGAAGATTCACGGCTACTATCTATAGAATCAGATACTTTTCTAGTAAGGTTCCCTGTGTATAATCTGAGATGTGTTCACGTGTGGGATTTTTTTGTTTACTTTCAGCTATACCTGCCTACCAGGACACCTGCGTTTCCTTTAATAAAGCATCACACTAGGAAGTGTATATATAGCAAGCTCATAATCCTAAAGGTGCACTAAATATACATAAATTCTCTGCCTAGACATACAAGCTGTTGCATTCCAGCTCAAGGTACTACTGCTAGTATCCTTTCTAGTGGCAGCATGCCATCCATGCCCACCCCGGCATGGACTGGCAGCGCAACAGGCAGAGAGCAAGGCTAACCACGAACATTGCTTCGCCCAAGACGTGCGGGAGCCCTACTAGGGACTAGCTCTGTTCACCCCCACCTCCACCAAATGACAACAACTGCTGGCCAGACAGTGTTGGCACTTGGCGGGGACGGAGGGGGACAGAACCAGTCCGGTTTGGCCCGGATTCGAGTGCTTAGCCCAATGCTCATGACTTCACCCTCTCTCATGCACTGCCTTCAACCTTCAATGCCATGATTGCTGCACATGGAGGCACCTGCATGGTAAGAAAGAAAGAAAATTAGTCCAGGCTCTCAATAAACAGAAAGAAGGTACCAGCATGCGTCAAAGCAAAATGATGAACACAAATCTAGAAAAAAAAATCAGCGAAACTGACAAGGCGCCAAGGGCTGAGACTTATCTGTAGTTGGGAAGCTGGAGGTGTTGAGCAGTGCGCCAAGGACTTGGGGCTTCATGGGCATGACGTTGAGCAGTGCTCCAAGGACTTGCACCGCCTTCAACCTTCAATGCCAGGATTGCTGGCCATGAAGGCACCTGCATGATAAGAAATAAACAAAATCAGTACAGGCTCTTTAAAAACAGCAAGCATGCAGAATGCGTCAAAGAGAAATGAACACAAATCCTTTAAAAATATATAGGGAAACTGACTCGGCGCAAAAGGGCAGAAACTTATCTGTAGATAAAGAGTTGGAGGTGTTGAGCAGTGCACAAGGACTTGGAGCTTCATGGGTGTGCAGTGCAGAGAGCCCTTGGAGAGAACCTGCCACAAGGCAAATGAAACAAGTCAGTGAACGGGATCAACTTGAAGCCACGACTTAAATCAAGCGAGGAAATCAGCAAGTGTAGTAGCAAACGGGAATGTGCAGCAAACTAGGCAATGCAAGGGGGAGGCAACTTATCTCGCCAAGCTTGAGCCTTGACGCGCCTCAGCAGACCATGGTGCTACCATAGATGTTGGACATGCCGAAGGTCCCTTGGTTGAGCAACCTGCCACACAAACTAAAAATAAAATCTAGTAAATCAAGTAACTTCAAAATCACCAACCAGCAGAATGCAAGAATGAGGGGTAAAGTCCAGAGAGACGGAACTTACTGCTGGTGGAGAGTGAGGAGGCGCCTGCCAGTGGTGTCGTACGTTCACCTCGCCTTGGAGCTTAGCAATGTGGCACAAGAGCCTTGAATAACACCTGCAAGTGTAAACAAGCGAATGTTAATAAACTGGATTAACAGAAGATGAAAAAACGGAACTCAAAGTATACTTACAACACCACCAGAGAGCCGATTACCAATTACCTGTACCACACCTACCTCACCTCACCTGTACCGAACCTGGACCAAGGGGGAGTGGCTCTGTGGGGTGGGGTTGATACATTTAACCTTCACCATGAAGCTTGAAAGGTTGAGACAGGCGGTTGATCCTCGAATTCCTTCTGAAGTAAGCCCAAGCGCCTCCATATAAACCTGCAAGTGTATGGAAAAAAACTGAAATTAGTAAACGGAATTAAGAAAAACATGAAAAACTTGCAAAAACGGACGAATCGTGTGCTGGTGATACCACAGAACCACAAAGCACGTACCAACAAAAAACACACCTTAGGGGGACCTGTACCTTACCTGTACCTTACCTGTACCACACCTGGACCAGGGGGGGGTGGTTCTGTGGAGTGTGCATGGTGGGGTTGATACATTCAACTTTAACCATGGCCAAGTCGTGGAGCTGTCCTTTGCTTGAAAGGTCGATTAAGGCGGCTGCTCCTCGAATGCCTTCTGAAGTACGCCCAATAGCAAACCTGCAAGTATAAAACAAACTTCAGTTAGTAAACGGAATAAAGAGAAGTATGAATAAAACTTGCAAAAACGGAAGAAACGTGTGCTGGTGCATACCACAGAACCACAAAGCACGTACCAACAAAAAACACACCTTAGGGGGACCTGTACCTTACCTGTACCACACCTGGACCAGGGGGGGTGGTTCTGTGGAGTGTGCATGGTGGGGTTGATACATTCAACCTTAACCATGGCCAAATCGTGAAGCAGTCTTTCGTTGCAGGCCATGAAACTTGGAAGGTTGATGAAGGCGCTTGCTCGTTTAGTGCCTCTGAAGTAAGCCCAAGAGCTCCATGCAAACCTGCAAGTATATAAAAAACATAAGTTAGTAAACGGAATAATAAAAAGCATGAAAACAGATTTGCGAAAGTTGAAAAAACATGTGCTGGTGCATCCACAGAACCACGAAGCACGTACCAACCAAAAAAACACACCTTAGGGGGACCTGTACCTTACCTTTACCACACCTGTACCACACAGGGGGGGGGGGGGGGGGGGGGGTTCTGTGGAGTGTGGATGGTGGGGTTGATACATTCAACCTTAACCATGACCAAGTAGTGGAGCTGATCCGCCATGAAGCTTGAAAGGTTGAGTCGTCGCTCCTTCAATGCTTTCTGAAGTACGTCCGGGAGTCTCCATGCAAACCTGCAAATATAAAACACGCAGAAGTTAGTAAACGAAAATAAGCAAAGCATGAAATAAAATTAAGCAAAAAAGAAAAAGAAAGACGGCTGGTTGTGTACCTGACGTTGAAGAAGAAATGGAGACGCATATCTAAGTTGAAGAGTCATGGAACTCGGCGATCCAACCAAGCGATCTAGAAAAGGCTGTCTCGTGGCGACGTGAAGCGATGACTATCGTTCCAAACCGGTAGAGTGGACGAACTTTAAGCTTGTCGGACAAGAACGAAAGGATGATGAAGAAACGAACTATAACTGGAGAAGAATAGCCGATAGTTTGAATGGATCTGCAGAAAGCGTGTCCTGTCTGAATGAGAATTGTTGGGATCCCAACCTAACGACGCCTAACGTGGTGAAAACAATGTATGGTGAGTAATGTGCCTTGGTGGCGTTGATGGTGGTCCCAAACGTGCCACGCCGGAGTGTGGTTAATGGCAACAAATCCGCCGAAAACATATGCGTCAGCATCTGATTGGACCGCCAAATCAAGAATCTACCATCTGTAACGAATATACCATCCTGACCTCAGTTTGTGACACCTCGGCTGCTTGAATGGCCAGTAAGAAACACAGGTGGAAACACAATTTTTGAAAATCCAGTGACGTGGCCAAGAATGACCGCCAACTCAACCAGCGCGGTTCGCTTCCCGAAACGTGTTATCAAACTGAGCCGTTCTAGTGCCTCAGAGGCGGCTGTTGGGAAATCAGTGAGGAGGGAAATGAAGAATTTGGGCTGGGTCTGACAGGAGCGGCGGTAGGGGGTAGAGAGAAGCGACAGAGGCGGTGTAAACTATGATCTGCCAGAAGGAGAAGCCCAGCTCTCAGTGTTGCGAATTGACGAACTGAGTGGTGACTGGAAACCGGGCTTCGTTACTGCGTACGAACATTGTCGGAGGTGGATGACCACATGGAGTGGAAATTCCTAAAACAACCAGTTCGCGTTGCTGGAACTAGGCAGATATTTTCGCGCGTCACTGATGTGAGTTTGGATGTTGGCGAAGGGATATCTGTTCGCCAGCCTAGTATCAGCTCCAGGCTTGCACGAAAAATGCTGGTTTGAAGCGGATCCGAAATCTTCGTGCGGGAGGTCCCCCGCACCTCTAGTCGTGAGTAACCTGATTCCTGAACCGATAGTAACATTCCTTGGTGTATTCCTTTTCGTTGTGTGTACACCTCAGAGATGGTTCCTGTAAGGGCGTGTAAAATTGTTACGCCCAAACGCTATGGTCGCTCTTTTGGGTGTTTCTGGCGATTGCGAGGAATTCGGGTTACGCCGTTTAGAGTAGTCACCCCGATTTGACCAGATGCATGGGTTATTCTGCATAGAAATTGGACGCACTGCATTTTGGGACCTACGTAGACATGTTTCCTCAGCAAGGGAAAAAACCTTTGTGTTCATCTAAGCTTAATGCTTTGTTAAACACTCTGGTTTAAGCCTCCGAACCCCCTGTGGTCCACACCCCGTTCGAATGCAGTAGTAAGAATCAAAATTTTCGCTTTCAATTACGGGGATGGTTTGTGGCGGATGGCCCAAACGCTCGCGAAAATTCTTGCGGGGATCGCTGATGCGTTAGATCATTTCGTAGTCGCCAGAAACGCGCAAAGGGCGGAAAATCGGTTTGGGCGTAACAATTTTACACGCCCTAAGATCCGCGCTTCAGAGACAGACTCGGGAGAGGTCCGCTTCCACAGAACAAGAGCCAACAGACGAGGTGCGGTTGTAGGTGAGGCCAGGCCACAGCCTCTTCCGCCAACCGCGCCGAAGCACCCCAACCAACCAATCAACTAACAACCAACCAGGTTCATGAGGTGCGTGCCATGTGACAACTCCAAGGGGCCTACAGTAGTGCACTGTAGTGGACATTGATTCCTTGAACTTGCCGTGCCTTGCCTTGGTTCGGTAGGATGTTGCCAGCTCATTTGTGTGACTCCAGCTGAGCCAGGCGTCATCAACCACACCACTACTTCAGCTCGTAGGATTGCTTGCTTTCTCACAACTACTGTAGAAGGCTAACGTAGGAACCTGTCAGTTCTGAGCAAGCGTTGATTGGCGTAGCATTATCGTGTTATTTATTCTAGGAGATGTATTCTCTTTCTTGAGCAGTCTCGCGTCCCTTTCCTAGATGCTACCTCGGACTCCTTCAAGCAAAATTCACGCTTCCACGATCTTCTAGGCTGCTCATGTCGATATACGCGTCGCCGTACGGCGCGTCAGACGATGGCGGCATGCCGGACGAGCTTCCCCGAACCATCAGCCTCGAGCGGTCCTTTGCTGCCCTTTACGGGTTGCAGAACAGCCAGCAGCAGCAGCAACAGCAGCAGCAGAGGAAGTTTCGCGGATGGACCAAGATGGGTTCATTCTTCGGTTCGTCCAATTCCAACACATCCGCTGAAGCCTCCCGCCGGGGCTCCGCTGCAGGTTCGTCAGCGGAGGCTCGGAAAGCAAATGCGGCCCCGTCCCTGCTACGAACAGTATCGCTACCCAGTCGCGCTGCTGCGCTGAAAGCACAGCAGCAGCAACAACAGCAGCAGCAGCAGCAGCAGGAGGTGCAGCAGATGCAGAGGGCGGTGCGATCTGCGGAGGAGGAGGAGAGAGAAAGACAGCGACAAATCGAAATGTTTGGCACCGTTCTCGCTGACGACGTGCCGCTTCCCCCGCCGGTACGCACCATCCCTATTAACCATCCCCGGCCGGTACACACCGTTCCCTGCTAGCCATCCCCCCCCGGTACGCACCATTCCCTACTAGCAATCCCCCCCCAATACGCTCCATTCCCGATCACTCATCCCCCGCCAGTACGCACCATCAATCATCACCACCGTCGAGCCTCCTTTAAGTTGCGGCGCGTGTGTGGAGGATCCGAACGACACTGCACGCGCTACCGGGAAGCACCGTTGCTTCAACGCCCCTCCTCGCGCACCTAACCCCACCACCTTTGCCCTCTCTGCCCACCTTCCTCTCTCCCGTACCTCCTCCCCCCCATCCCCCGCCTACCCTCGCAGGGATTTGAATACGGCTCCGACTTCTCCCCCGACCGCCCTTCCTCCCCTCCCCCTGCCGTAGCAGCGCCGCCGTCGCCGCCAGAAGGGGCGGTGGGTCAGGGGTACGGGGAGAGACCTGGCGCAGATTATGAGGGCGGCAGTAGCGACTGCGAGGGCGGCGGTAGCGACTGGGAAGGTGGTCGTTCTGTAACGAATGGAAAAGTCGCAGGAGGAGAGGGAGGGGGGCCGGCGGAGTATTGCCCGCGGGCAGTGCGCGAGTTTAGGCGCACGACGTCGTCGCCCGTGCCCAAGTGCCCGCCGGCTTCCGCGCCTGCGGGCGCGGCGGGCGCAAGAGACCGGCGCCTGGCGGGGGAGTGTGTGGGGGCGACCTTAAACGGGCCCTTCAGCAGCGGCGGGGGCGCCGGAAGCGGAGCGAGTATGGGCGGCGGCGCGGTTGGCGCCAGGGCGGACGACGTGCGCGTTGGTGGTGGGAGCGCTGGGATCGGCGGGAGCCCTGCGCTTGCTGGTCGCGCCACGAGCGGCACCGCAGAGGTCATGGGGACTCCGTCCCGCGCGTCTGCGCCGTTTGTTGCGCCTCCCGCCGCCAGCAGCAAGCCGCCCGTGAGAGGCGGGTTCGGGCGCAGCACGAGTGTCACGCAGACGCAGGGGAATGCCGCGGAGGCCGCCGCTCCTGCGGGTGTGGCTGGCAGCGGCGGGGGTGGTGGGTTGGGAGGGCGGAGGTCGTTTCGGCGCGCCATGTCGATGGAGCTGCGGCCGCGCGCGCGACTCAACAGGGCGCCGCTCGCCCTCAACCCTCTCGACGCCTCCCCGCCGCCTAACAGCGCCGCCAGCGCATTCCCCCGGCCCCCCGTCCCATGGGCAGCAGCGGACGACCCATGCTCCCCCTCCGCCCCCGTTCCCGCCCCCCACAAGCAGCCACCCCCGTCTCTCCCCACGTCGTCCTCCCCCTTCGGCCGTCCTCCCCCCAGCAGCAACCACAGCGCCCGCGGGTGGGCGGCGTGGACGCAGGCAGATGAAGCCTCCCCCAGAGCCGCCTTCGCGCCGCCCTTCTTGCGCTCCTCGTCCGTCGGAGGCCCCCCCCCATCCTCCCTGCGCAACAGAGAGCTGCCCCCGCCCGCCCCCCCCTACAGCGCGCACCCGAACCCACATGCAGGGATAGGCGCGTGGGCAGGGGCAGGCGGAGGGGGGATGGGCGCAGCGGCGGGCGGATGTTATGGGTGGGCGTCCCCGGGGTCACAGCGGTCGCTCAGTCCCGAACGCGCGGAGAGCCAGGTGAGCCGCGCAGGGCGCGGGGGTGCGGCGGGTGGGCAGGGAGGGGGGGGGGGGGGGGGGGGGGGGGGGGGGCGCGGCGAAGCGGTGAGGGGAAGCAAGCGGGGCCAATGCGCGAAAGAGAGATAGAGGGCGCGGCAGACGCAGGGGGGGGTGCACTTGGGGCAGGGTATGCGGGCAAGGGCGCAGCAGCGTGGCGAGTTTGCCTCATGCCATGGCCACGTGGTCTTGCCGCCCGCTGAGTCTCTCTGTCTGCTTGTTCGTCTTAACCCTCTTAGCCCCTCCCCTTCCCCACCCGCCCCGCCCTTTGCAGCAGCGGCCGCTGGGTCTGGTGCAGGAGAGCAGCGAGGAGGGCGTGAAGGCGGGCACGGCGGAGAGGCGGAGCGGCAGGGAGGAGCGTGGCGGCGGGGGGAGGGGCCTCAGGGGGCGGAGTGGGGAGAGGGGCGGGGAGGCGAGGAGGATGGGTGGGCGGGCGAGGGAGAGGTGTGCGGGGGATGAAGGCAGGGCTAGACGGCAAGACGCGGAGAGTGGTAGTGAGAGTGAGAGTGGAAGTGAGATTGAGAGTGGGAGTGGGAGTGAGAGGGGCAGTGGGAGTGGGTCAGGGAGCGAGAGTGAAGACGACATTGGGCGCAAGAGAGCCCAGCAGCAGCGCGCACGTGTGGGCGGCGGGGCGCGGGCGTTTGGGGAGGGGCGAGGGGGGGCGGTGGGGAGAGAAAGGTGGGAGGGGCGGGGGAGGGTTCTGCAGGGCGGACCAGGCAGGGGGGCTGTGGGCAGGGATGGACTGACGCGGGGACCTTGGGGGGCAATGGGCGCAGCAGGGGGGCGGCGTGGGAGGGTGGGGGCGAGGAGGCGGGGGAGGAGAGCCCTCGCGAGGCGAGTGTGCGGTGTGTGGCGCCGTCCATGCACTCGCTGCTGCGCCTCGCCTCCCACTCGCGCCACCGCAGCCTCGACGCCTCCCCCTCCTCCACCTCCCCCTCCTGCTCCCCCGTGCCCCTCGCCCGCCCCGTCTCCCGCCCCTCCCCCCCTGCCTCCGCCCGCAGCCCGGCCCGCCTGGGCGCGTGGGGAGCAGCGGGGGGGGCAGGGCGCGTGGGGGGGTCGCCTGGGAGAGAGGGGGTTGGCGGAGGGGGCGAGGAGGAGGGGGGCGTGATGCTGCTGCGGGCGAGCACTCTGCACGAGAGCAGCAGCAGCAGCAGCAGCAGCAGGCGCGGTGGCAGCAGCAGCGCTTGGCATGCAGAGAGGCAGGCAGAGGCAGGCGGGCAGGCCAGTGGGGCAGGTGTGGGGGGTGCGGTGCAGATGGGTGGGAGGGAGGCGAGGAGGGGGCTGGTGCGGTCGGCCAGTGGGGTGGAGCCGAGGCACTGCCGCAACCGCAGTGCGGGCGGTGGCATGAGCATCGGCGCCACCGGCAGCGTTGGCGTTGCTGTCACGTCCGCCCTGGGCCCCTTTGACAACTCCTTTCTTCCAAAGGCACCCGCAGCTCCACCACCACCCGCAGCAGGCCCGGCACGTGTGGATGCTCGCAACCCTCGAAGGGGTCTGGTTCGGTCGGCCAGTGGAGTGGAGGCGAGGCACCGGCGCGAGCGGAGTGGAGGCGGCAGCAGCAGCGGCAGTGGGGGAGCCGCAGGCATGGGGTGGCTGGCGGGCGGCATGGGGGGGGGAGAGCAGGGGGAGCCGGGGGAGGAGAGGCGAAGTGAGGGCGGCAGGGCGTTCACGCGGTCGAGCAGCGGCGTGGAGGCGCGGCACAGGAGGCAGCGCAGCAGCGGCGCTGGCAGCACGGGCGGTGCGGGCGGCATTCTCGGCTCGCTGCTGTCGCGCCCGGGTGCAGTGGAGGGGGGTGCGGCGGGCGACAGGGACGGTGGTGAGGGCAAGGCGAGCAGCAAGGGGGGGGGCTTTGGGTTGGTGCGCATGGCAACGATGGAGAGGCGGCGCGGCAAAGGCCGCAGCAACTCCGTGGTGGATGACAGGCTGGCTGCCAGCCCCTTCCAGGACCTCTCCTGGGATTAGCACCCCTTGCTTGGCCTGGTTCTCAGCCGCAGTATTTATGGTGAGGTGTAGAAACAAGCTGTGATGTGGTGAATAGGGGGGTCAAAAGATGGGTGAAGATGGAATTTTGGGGAAGGGATCATGCACTGTGAACTGGATGCAGTAATAGTTGATCCCTTGATGGGCAACAGGCGCCATTCATATCAACATATTCATGGCTGGGAGAAGTTGGAATTTCCAGCTCCATCAGGTATATTTGTTAGTCCAAAAATACCATAAGGGGGTGGTTGCACTATTGTGTGGTCGCACTATTGTGTGGTCATCTTGGTAGAGCATACCGGTACTTCAATATTATGTAGGTACTAGCCGAGGATGGACAAACCAATTGCATGATCTGAGTAATCTGGATGGTTAAACAACTTCGAACAGTTATTTGATGCTAACAGATACATAATCAAGATCTAATTCATTACTAAAGTGATGGTTTTTATTGTGCTAGAACCTTTTTGCTGGATATTTGTGTACGCGATACAGGGGGGTGTTATGCAAGGTTTGGCCTGGCACCTCTGGTTTGGTCGATCTCTGGCAACACAACCCACCTCGCCTAATTTTGGGGGGTTTGAAGCATCGACGGACAAGATTCTCCTACTGGTGCGAGAAGCTTTGTCAGCAGCACACGGGAAGCGGGAATCGTGGGACTCCCGCCATTATCTTCGAGACGCACGCTGCACTCTGGGGTATTTGAGTTTACAGGGTAGTTTATCCTACATAATGAAAAACGAACGGAGGAATGGAGAAATCTGCGTGAAAAAAATACATTAGAGAAACACTTGCTCGTGGAGTTTACTGGGTTATCCATTCGGTGGATTTCGGTTTCGGTTAGAGCCCCACTGCCAGGAAAACACTGGGATTTTTGTAGTATGGTGGGGTGTCAGCGTTCTCTGGCTTGGAACACTTTGGCGAACCGCGAAATTGTTGCCCTCGCCGCCTTCCCCTACACACCGCATCGCCCTGCTGAATCCCCCCAAGAGCACCAGGAACCACCAATGCATCCCGTGCGCGAACTGTGCTCCGACCGCGAAGCGGCTGCCTCGACCTCCTCGACATGATCCCGCTCTCCAATTTCCAGCCAATCCCTAGGAGTCAACCAAGACGGTAGAGTTCGGTTCAGTGTGCTCATGGAGATTCCTGCATGGCTGGACAGATTTCCGTCCGCTCAACGGACACGCGATTGGTTAGGTTTGCGCGACGAGCACCTCATTCTGGCAGTTTCGTGCGGGCATCTCGATTTCTTGCCGTTTGTGTCCGTCAACATGGGTCCTTAGTTCTGCTAGTGCGGTTCGGTCAACCCCCCTTCATACGGCTTTCGGTGGCTTCCGCACCCCGAACCTCCGCAAGGACGTTGTGCGCGGGGGGACCTTGATTTCATATCTCGTTCTTTGTTCTCTCCGCACCTTCCGCTTGCGGGAACGCGTACCGGACCCGTTCTAAGCCAAGCTTTCCGCCAACCAAAGAACTCTTTCAAGTGATTGCGCCAAACACCATTCCCCTTTGTCCCCCCCACTCTCCCAACCTTCGTCATCTTCACACCCCGCCCTTCCGCCTCAGACTTCCGCAGCACGCCTCGCAACCACTGATTCTTCCCACCAAGCCTGTGGCAGTGCTGCTGTCCCCCCAACCAAACCCACCTTCCTGCTGGTCGCTTTCTCACAATCCTGTGTTTTCCGAAATTATCAGCCCCAAAGCTCATCCATCGCCATTATCCTTGATCTTTAGGTTCCAGGCTCCAGTTGGGGTTGCATTCGGACTCTCACACGTTGCCCTTATTCCGTGTGAGCTACGGCTTTCTTTTTTTGATTTACTGGGACCTCCGTAGCGCTGATACCCAGGAGACACCTCGCCATAAATTTCAGATCTCGTTTTCTGAGTCATGGAATGGGGACGAGGACTATTCTTCCAGGTTCCCATTATTCGACTGTCCCTTTCCGTTTCTTAGACGTCCCGAGGTTTTAACGCCGCTATTAGCATCATTTTTCGCTAGTTCAAGCGTTCGTCGTGCCTGGCTGGATCAGGAAGCACTAATCGGAATATATCGCTCCCAAGTTTCGCAGGATGCAGTTGATAGAAGGCGCTTTGTTGACTGATGCAGTCTCCTCATGCGCATCGGCGTGGTGGTGCTCCTCCTGCTCGTCGCTTCTCTGTCATCCTGGTCTCTTCCTCCTCCAATTACAAGCCTCCCTCATCCTCATCGGCCTCGGCATCGCGTGGCTATGGGCTAGCCAGTCGCGCATCAGGGAAACCAGACGGATTCGATCGGCTCAAAAATCGGGGAACCCGTTCGCCTTTGTTGATGTGGAGATGTCGCGGTTGTCGTACGACGAGCAGCGGCAACTACCCAAGGTGTCGGTGGTGTTGGCGGTCAAGGGATCAATAGGGGAAGCCGGTATGGACAACTGGCGGTCGCAGCTGGTGACGCTGTATGGCGGCGCTGTGGAGTATATCTTCTGCGTGGAGAGTGAGGACGATCCGGCGTACTTCGCCGTGCAGAGCTTGCAAAAAGAGATGAAGGGTGTCGTCGATATTCGGCTAGTCGTCGCCGGCCTAGCGACGGCGTGTTCACAACAGATCCACAACCAACTAGCGGGCGCTAAGGTGGCGAGCACGGAGTCAAAGTACCTGCTGTTTTTGGATGACGACATTCAGTGCCATCCAGGGACATTGGGGTCGTTGGTGAAGGCTATGGAGACGCGACCAGATGTATTTTGCTGCACAGGTTACTCTTTTGACATCCCATCGACGCCAAGCATCTCCGCGTATGCCGCGATGGCGTACCGTCTGCCTCTGCTCATCGGTATGTCGTCCGGCGGCCCGGCGTTCTTCGTGTGGGGCGGCTGCATCATGCTACGGCTTGCGGATCTGCGCGCGGATCGCAACGGCATGGCGAGCGCGCTGCAGCGCAACGGCTACAGCAACGATCTGATTCTCACGTCCGTGGCGGGAGTGCACGGATGCAAGGTGTGGTGCCCTCCCACCGCCATTTTCCCCGGGAGAATGTCCGGCGCGTGGACCTTCCGCCGGTACTGGAACTACGTGCGGCGACAGATATTCGCCTTGACCACCTACTGCTCCTCGTACGCCTACCGCACCAACCACGTCGGCTGGTTCTTCTACACGTACGCTTCGCTCGCCGTCACCATCCCCCTCATCCCCTCGCTCATCCACCTCGTCCTCTTCATCCTCTCCCTCGCCCGGTCCGTCCTCCTCTCCTCCCGACCGTTATTGTTACAATCGGGCGTCACCGACGTCGCAACCATCGCGGCGCTTGCGTCGAGCGGGCTGGTGGGCGGCGGGCGGCCGGTGGTGGTGGACGGGAGGACGCTGTGGTGGGAGTGGATGGTGTCGCGCTCGTTCTGCGCCACTGGCCTCGCGTTCTCCCTCTTCCACTTGGCGAGCATCGGCATCTCGGCTCTCTTGGGCACGCGCCTGTTCCACGCCGTCATCACTCTCTGCAACCTGCTCTCGCCGGAAAAGCCGCAGATCCGGTTAAGCAATCTCAGCCTCTCGCTCGGCGTGCTGGGAATGCTGATGAACCTGGCGCTGTTGCCTGTCATCGCAGTGTACACGTACCTACAGCCCGCCATCACGTGGGCTGGCATCAAGTATGTGCGAAGATCAGGCCTTGTCGCCAAAGTTCGCCATCCGACGCCGCAGTCCGAAGCTCTGCCGATAGAGTCGCGAGTGTCGCAGAAGGTGCTGGACCTGGAGATTGCGGGCGGCGGGCTGATCGGAGACGAGTTTGACGGCGGATGCTGGAGCGCGCCGTACGAGAAGCGCGATTGGCTGGTGGAAGCGTTGGCGCGGGTGCCGTGGAGCAAGGGTTGGGCGGAGAACATGGAGATGTTGTGCAAGTCGCTGCCGGCCATTCGCACGGCACGAAGCGTGAGCCCTAAATTGAAAAAGTCAGGTTGAAAAGGAATAAGTGCAGGGAAGGGGGGAGATAGAGGGGGGGAGAGGGGATGGTCACGAGGGAAATACAACTTTGGAACGCGAGCTTAGAATTTCACACGCGAAGATAGCTTTCGGCACAGCATGCGGGGATGAGCTCCGCGTTGCTCCTGACTCTCCCACCTTGTCTTTCCATCTCTCGACCACGGATTTCCTTTACCGACGGCCTGCAAGCGAGCTACTGCAGAGTGTGTACAGCAAGGGCGCACGTAGTGTCGGGGAGTTTATTGAAGCTGAAACGGGGAAGACTGGCGGAGGAGAAGCAGGGGTCAGCGTGTGAAGAAGGTGGCAGTTGCAGCTGTCATGTCAGAAACAATGTCAGAGCTGTTAGGTCCGATCAGTCGCCGTCGCATTCTGATCCTTGTCCAACCCCAACCTAGATCCTCTGTTGAGCTGGCAAACCTCTCGTCAGCATCCATCTTCCTCCCTGCCTGCGCCTACGCTTCACCATTGCTCATTCATGTTGGCTGTTGGCTGTCGCCTTTTCGCCTGCCTGATGATCACATAACCCATCATTGTTGCTCACCATCCATGTCATTCCATCCGCTCCCACTCCAGTTTGTTCCCCACCCGCTGTGTCTTACGTTGCGGCTATGGAGCACTTTGGTGTGCCATGCCATGTCGCACCGACCGGCATTGCCATATTCCTAGGTCCAGGCGCTCAAGGTGCAGGCTCCAGTGGTGCCTCCTTGCGTGGGTTGAGGTGTTCTGATCTAGTGTGCTGTAGGCTATGGCCGCGTAAGGTGCTGGATGGCCAACCTTGTGCCAGGTGTGTGCTTCTGTCGATCATGTGCCATGTGCCGGTTGCCATGTATTTCTTGTTAGAACATTCTGATTTCTTTTGTAGGATGACACCAGGGCAGTTACGCAGTGACAATTCATGTCATTGAAATGTGACGTTTAGTTATTTCGGACAGTGCTTGTACCAATTTTGAACAAACAATTCTAGTACGGTAAGATGCTTATGACCAGATTTTGATGTGATAACTTTGATCCGTTGATCTTGAATTGAGTGACTGGTGTGCATGCATGTAAGTTCTTGAGCTCCATGCAAGGAATACAATTATTTTTGGTTCCCATTGCTATTGAATGAGGTAGCCTAAACCCAGATTACTCAGGCAGGAACAAATGGCCAGGTTGTTTCAAGTAGTTTCACATCTCAACCCCCTTTTTTGTAATGTCTGCGGGGGGGATAAGCTAACACATCTGCAATTGTTAGTAGAATGAACGCCTATGGCAAGTAGTAACAACGCTTTAATCGAAGCCACAATGTCTGTGCGGGGTGAAATTTGCCACCTAGCTCTAGCTGTTGAAATGGTCAACGGAGTTTTGGGTTTTTCAGCCACGTCACCACTTGACCCCTTAGTTTTCCCATCATTCTTCGAGCCGCAGGTTGAAGGTACAGTAAAGGTAAAGGTCGAAGGACCATGGATTGAAGAACGAAAAAAAGCGGAAAACTGTAAACTCCTCCTCTGCACCGCACCGAAACCCTTTGTATCGTTGTTCACTGTAGAATGGCGGCGGAGCAGCGACTGGAGGCTGGCGAGAAAGAGCAGTCAAGTTGCCCTGTTATGCGCACCCCGCCTCCACGCGCCAATCCGTGGACAGGAAGGAAGCCTCACCACAACCACCCCACCTCGCCTGCTTGACAAGCTACAAAGTCTGATTCTTCCAGCTCGCAATCAACCAAACCCTCATCGAAACTCCAGTCCATCGACATTCCTTGCTTTCGGAATAGCTTGTTTCGGTAACCATGATGCCATCTCCCTCTTCTCGGGCCCTGAGCCCGAGTCGCCTAAGTCTCAAGCCCGTGGTCGCGGCGCGAGCAAGAGCCGTCGTAGCCGCCGCGCTGCTTCTGCTTGTGCTGCAGGTGCACGTCGATCCGACATTTCTGGCAGCATGTGCGTACACCGTGCCGCACCCCGCCAGGCAGTTCCACGGCGCGGCTCCTGCTACCAGAGCCACGGGGCGGCAGTCCAGGCACGGCAGGCTCGTGCGCTCGCCGCTGCACTCCTCGTCGAACTCGGCGGCTGTTGTAACAACCGGCGTAGTCGGTCCTACAACCGCCGCTAAACTCGCCGTGAAAACTCCCGCGGCGGCGGGCGGCTGCTCGGCGTCGTCGATCGCAGGATACACGTCGTCCGTCGCACTCTCCGGATCCGAGTACTTCCCCCCTCTCTCTCGCTTCTACCTCCCTTTTCCGCTCGCACCTGACCATCGCGATGTCGCTGCATTCACACCGTACTCGTAACTCCCACCTCAACTGACTTTGGCGTTGATAATGCTAATCGTTTTCCTCCATTCCATCTTCCCGCGATCCCCTTACCACTACTTTCCGCGTGCCCAGTCTCGTGCTGCACTGGGCCGTCGCCGCGGGCGGCAAGAGCCTTTCTCTCGCCATGCAGGTGGGCGGCGCGGCGGCCGGCGGGTGGGTGGCGGTGGCGTGGTCGCCGGACGGCAGCATGCCCGGCTCCGACGCCGTGATCGGCGGGCTGCCGGGCGGCGCGGTGAAGGCGTACGCCATTAACGGGTACAGCGAGGCGGACGTGCGCCCCACCCCCCGATTCTCCATCGGCGCCGCCTCCTCCGCCAATGGCGGCTCCCTTATCAAGTACGCGACTCGTCGACGATGCGACGACGCGAGTCTCTTAGTAGCAAGCATAGAATCATGGCGTCTTCATTGGAGATGTGTCGCTTGCTTTCCACAACTGTCGCGTTGCCGTCACCGCGAGCTGGTACTAACGGTTTCAGTATTCCGCTGACTTGAGAGTCGCGCGGCGCATCATTCCTACCACCGCGCATATGCGTTTCCCTCCGGATAATCTCAATGTAGCCTAAGTTATTCCCTTCTCGTTGCGCCGGCCTATTCTTTCCCGCTCGCGCCAACGGCAGGTTTTCGCGGTCGTCTGGCGACGGCGCAGTGCCGGTGAGCATGGCGGGCAGCAACAGCATCATCTGGGCCTTCTCCAGCGATCAGTCGCCAGCCCTCGCCAGCCACGGGGGCAACTAGTGCGTCCCTCGTACCCCTCTCCCTCGTGCTAGTACCCTCTCAGACGGCTGCTCCCCGCTTTCTTGCCGCATCACGACTCTCACCTCTGCTACGCTATGCGTATCTGTGCCACGTATCTGTCTGCTACAGTGGAGCCTTTGTCTTGTGCTGGTGTCACCTACTGCCGAGACCCAGTGCCCTCCCCTTCCACAAGGCCGCGCAGACTGAACATGCTATCTGTGCCTGTCCCCTATGCGTTCCTCGATGCCATTGCAGCGGCCAGGCAGATGTGGACTTCAGCTGCACGGGCTCTACTGGAGGCGGTACTGGTGGCGGCACAGGCGGCGGTACAGGCGGCGGTAGTGGCGGCGGCACTGGGGGCGGCACTGGCGGTGGTGATGGGGGTGGAAGCGGAGGAGGAAATGGCGGAGGTGACTATGGCGGGGACTACGGTGGTGGCAATGGCGGTGATTATGGTGATGGCAGTGATTACGGTAATGATGATGGCAACGGTGGTGACTATAACGATGGTGGTGACTATAGGGGTGGAAACGGCAATGGGGATGGCAGCGGTGGTGATGGTGACTACAGCGGAGATGACGATGGGGATGGTGATGACTACAGTGGTGGAGGCGATGACTATACTGGAGATGACAGCAACGGTGATTATAACGGAGGAGACTACAGTGGAGATTACAGTGCAGGGGATTATGCGGACTATGGCACAGCTGGTTCTGGTTCTGGGGGGGGTGCTGCCATGGCTCAACAAAGGATGGCGGTGTTGTGGGCCCAATTCAAGCAATGGCTGAAATCGAATGCTGGTAAGCGTGGCAACGGGTTGAAGCAGACCCGCATGGGAACCAGAAACCATGGAGTCAGGTCCAAGGAGGGTGTGCAAACTGCTCTAGCAGGGCACATGGGCACACGTGTGCGGCAGGCAAGATATGGCCAGAGACAGAGAGCCAATGGGTCCCAGGGAGTCAATGCGGTCAACAGGGTGAATGGCAGAGGCACTGCTGGGTCGAAGGAGGTGCAGAGGACACATGCAAAACATAACCAGCAGGTGCGGCACGGGCCATATGCTGCACGGCGCGCACGAGGAGGTAACCGTGGGAGGAACCCATGAGGGGAAAGCTTAAGCTATCTCTGGAGGAAGTATGGCAGTATCAGTTGGAAATAGGGTGTGTTGTCAGAAGTAGCGTTAGCGGGTTGATGAGGAATTCCATTTTTACTACTGGGGATAGTCTAGATCATGTTTGGTTTGAACTTGTTTTCCCTACCTGGCTCGTGGGCTGGGAGTAATATTGCTACTGGCAAGCTGTGTGGATATGATATCTCTCTCAATTCATTTTGGCACATACAGTCAGCAACGGCAGAAGCTGCTTAGCGCGTACGTGTACACTACCCCCAAAAACTAGTTTTGAATGTCACTCCTCTACAGCACCCCATGCCATGGCGACGCGCAAATCAACACTCAATTCTGTTGACGCGCGACCGCCTCCCATTCCACCTTTCGCGAGGCAGCAGTAGCGCGCAGACACCTGGCGGCGTCAGTCGTCTTTCATCAGTTACCACCATGACCGCCCACGCGCTTCATTTCTTCCCCGCTCGCCCTCTAATTCCCTTCCCTGGCCGCGTCGCGCCGTGTGACCGCGCGGGGCCGCAACGGCTCGCCGCGACTCGATGCCGACCGTTATCGCCGGCGCCTCGTCCGCAGCCTTCTTCCCCTTCGGCCACGCTCCTTGGCTCTTCAGTCCATTGTGTCTTCGCGCTGTCGCAACCAATTGCTATTCCATCCGTAACTCATTGGGGTGACACTCGCGGCGGACTTCGCGGCAAGGTCGGAAGTGTCACCGCAGCGGCTGTGCAGCAGCGAAAGCTGGACCGTGTGTCGCGGCGGCTGATACGGTTCCGGGCGGCGGCGAACTGGGAGGCATGGGGCAGGAGTGAGGTGGCCTGGCGGAGAGGCGGAAGAACCGACTCCGGCGCGCAGCGCGGAAGAGCGGTCCGCGCACGGGCGAGCGGTGCAGGGGAGTCGCGGTCCCCGGAACGAGAGCAGCGACGGGAGGCGGGGGGGCCGGAGGGCTGCGTTGCAGAGCTGCGTGGGGAGGCGGAGATGGAAGGGGGTTCCGCCATGCGCGGAGCAGTGCGCGCGGGGAGGGGCAGCGGAGAGGGGGAGGTGGAACCCGCGGGGGTTCTGCCAGTGCTGTGCTTTCCTGGAGGGTATGTGTTTGCGACGGCTGGCAGTATGGGGCGGTGTGGGGGAGGAAAGCATAGCATGGGGACGGGTGTGCCTGTGCTGAGGGCGGAGTGGCTTACGGAATGAGGTACTATCTTGAAGGCCATGGGGTGGTGGTGTGTGTGGAATGGCTCGTGCTCGCTTGGTTGGTGTGTGCTCGCTTGGTTGGTGTGTGCTCGCTTGGTTGGTGTGTGCTCGCTTGGTTGGTGTGTGCTCGCTTGGTTGGTGTGTGCTCGCTTGGTTGGTGTGTGCTCGCTTGGTTGGTGTGTGCTCGCTTGGTTGGTGTGTGCTCGCTTGGTTGGTGTGTGCTCGCTTGGTTGGTGTGTGCTCGCTTGGTTGGTGTGTGCTCGCGACGGCAGGCAGTCTGTAATGAGTAAGCAGACTCTCCTGCCCTTCCTGCACACCTCACGTGGACCACACACCATGTAACCATGCTCCCCCAATCCCCCCTTCCTTCCCATTTCCTCCTCTCCCCTCCTTCCCCCCGCTCCCTACCCTCAATTTAATCACGCTGTGTGACGGCAGTGGGATGTTCTTCTACTGGCAGATGGGGGCAGCGGCGGCCATATCAAGGCACGGCGCGGTGGAGGGGGCGAGGCTGGTGGGGGCGAGTGCGGGTGCGCTGGCAGCCACGCTCACGGCGTGCGGGGTGGACGCCACCGCTGCTGCGCGCGCCGCCTTCGACCTCTCCCTCGCCAACGGCGTCTGGGATCGCCCTGCAGGTGGGGCCAGGGGCGAGGGGCGGGTGGGTGAGTGGCAGGTGGGTGAGTGGCAGGTGGGTGAGTGGCAGGTGGGTGAGTGGCAGGTGGGTGAGTGGCAGGTGGGTGAGTGGCAGGTGGGTGAGTGGCAGGTGGGTGAGTGGCGGGTGGGCTGACTAGCGGATGCAGGCACCCCTACAGTGCGCTCCGCTGTCCTTCCTCTGCCAGATCCTCTGCTTCTTCGCGAGCTGCTCCCCATCCTAATGCTCCGCTCCGTCCCGCTCCCATCCTAATGCACCTGTCCCGTGTGTGCGGCAGGGCTGGCAGGTGTGTGGGGTCGGCTGGTGGGCGAGTGGTTGGACCTCATGCTCCCTGCGGATGCTCACACCCGCTGTAGTCACCGCCTCTCCCTCCACATTGTCACACTGCCCTCCATTCGCCATCGGTACTTTCCGCCATTGACGCTGTGTACTCTTTTCCAAAAAACTTTCCTACCACTCTCTTAACCACTATCCTAACCACTCTCCCAGTTAACATGTTTGACCTGCTGCATTCCCTGCCTTGCGTCCTGAACTCCTCCCTTCCATCCCTGATCTCCACTCCATCCCCACTTTTCCTCCTCTCGCCTCCTCCCGCCCACCTGCCTGTTCAATTCTGAGAACCCTCACAAGTAACTCACCCTTCCCCCCTCCCCCATCTCCCCCCACCCCACCCGCATGTGCAGCGCGCCATGGTTCGAGAGGCAGGTGGTGTCGCAGTTCCCATCGCGGGCGGACCTGATAGCGTGCTGCCTGGCGTCCGTGCACATTCCCTTGTTCATGGACGGCCGCCCCTGGACGCTCTACCGCGGCCGCCGATGCGTTGACGGCTCCATTCTTGCCATGCCGTACGTGCCATGCCATGCCATGCTGCTGTGTGCACTCTGCAGTGCCGTGTGTAACGTGGATCACATGCATGCATCGCTCCTTGGCTTTGCATACCCACTCTTGGCCTGTGCGCCTCTTCATTCTTTGCCTTCCCCCAACCTGTGCTCCTTGCTCCTTCCCATCCACCTCCTTCACTCCTCACGTTACCATGTCCCATCTCTCCTCCATCCCCGATTCGCCCCACCCTTCCTCCCCACCCTCTTTCCCCCTTCCTATTCTTCTCTGTGTGTGTAGCAGGGAGCACCTCGCCCCGGCCTCTGCGCCCTCTCTCTTCCTCGACTTTGCACTGGACGAGGCAAGTCGCACTCCACACCACACCACCAGCACCACGGCTCACTGCATTCCCCTCTGCCTCCAAATGCACCCGCACAGCACTGCAAACGACCTCGTGACTCTCCTCGTGCCCTCGCCCTGCATACAAACCCTTTCCTCACCCCCCTACCTCTTGCCCACCGTTCCTTGGGTTTGTTTTCCAGGAGATGCGCCGACGGCGCTGGGACTTCCTGAGCCTCGGTGCGCGGGGCAGAGGAGAGAGGGCGCGGGCCCGTGAGAAGGGCGAGCAAGGGTGGGAGGAGTGGGCGGGGGAGGAGGAGGTGAAAGTGAGCGAGCACTATAGCGAGGATGACGACGATGCCTTGCCCGCTTCCCCTCTCCTCCACACACTGCCTTTTCCTCGCGCGTCCTCCCCACCGTCCACCCCATCCTCCTCCTCCACCTCCTCCTCCTCCACCTCCTCCTCCTCCACCTCCTCCTCCTCCACCTCCTCCTCCTCCACCTCCTCCTCCTCCACCTACCACTTCCCTCCAACATCCTCTCTCCCCTCCCCCCTCTCCTCCACTCCTGTCACCTCACCATTGCCTACAATCCCACACCTTCCTTCCTCCGCCCCGGCTCGCACGTGGCTGTGGATAGAGGAGATGATGCAGAGAGGAGAGGCGTATGCGATGCGAGAATTAGTCGACACGGGCGTGCTGCACACTCTCCTGCCTCCTGTCTCCAGTGCTGCCAATAGGGTGGGCAATCAATGAGCGTGCATGCAGGAAAATTGACGTATGATGGATGTAAGTTTCAGCTTCTGTGATTTGATTTTATGTTTGGTGCAGAAAATTCAGGTGGTAACCAGACTCTCAGTGAGCCCTCTCGCGTGTCCCAGGATCACATCCCAGTTTCCATTTGCATTGCACCAAGTATGGTATGGTACACAAGGAACAAACTTCTACAGTAATCCAGGTGTTGGAGAATTTAAGCTGTTGCAGCTACACGGGAGGGACTCAGCTTTCTAAGCCATCCTGGCCATGTCCTCTGATTAACCTTCCACGGCAGCACCAGGTCTTTCCTCGGGTCAGTAATCGTATAATTCCACCGTTCGGGCTCAACCCCATCCTGCTTGCGCTTCTTCATGCCCCTCCAGAGCACCTGCTTCAGCTCCTCACTCAACCAGCACCACTGCTTCAGACTCTCGTCAATCCCGTCGTGCACCGCCCACCAGCGCCGGAACGCAACATCGTTCACAAACTTGAGGTCGTGCAGCGACGCCGACAGGTTGCAGTCAAAGTCACGGAAGCACACCCAGGGCTTCCGACCAAGGTAGTGAATGGTGGTCATCTGGGGCGGGTCGGACGCGAAGAGAGCGTTCTGCGCAGCCAGGCCCCCGTCGGGGTAGGCGTGCCCGTGGAGTGGCTTGTGCTTGAGCAGGTTGGTGAAGTCTGGTAGGCGGTGCCACCAGGGGTATGCGTTGTTTATGAAGCCCTGGCGGGACGACGGCAGGAGTGCATGTGGGGAGGGAAGCGAAACAGTGGGGAGACGGTGAGGAGCCCATTTGCCAGGCAGACAAGCACCCTTTGGCGTCACAGGCCAAGCCGACACGCATTGGTGAGGTAAAGTTGTTGCGGGCTGTGCAAAGACATATCTGCCAAGCTGTGCGAGCAGTTGATGTCCACGCACGACGCTGAGTAAGCTGCACTGCTGGAAGGCAAACGAGCGTCGGCATATACAACACAAATCACTCCACACGTCACCCATTCAACCTGCTCCTCACGGCAGCAGCAGCAGCCATTCTCACCTGGAAGCCGCGGTTGTACGAGACCAAGTAGCGGATGTTGGCAATGAGAAATGCCTGCGTGCAGAGCGAGGGCTCGATGACCATCATGCCCCCGTTGAAGCGGTGGTCGTCGTTGCCACCCGCCGAGAGCTCGGGGTAGAGGAAGAGGTGCGTGAGGGAGTGGAAGGGCAGGAAGTCCGAGTCTATGTACACGATGCGCTTGTACTCTACCAACCCCCACAGCCGCAGATTGCTGCCGTGCCAGGGTGGGGGGAAGAGGAATCAGGGGCAGAGCAATCAGGGGTAGAGCAATCAGGGGCAGAGCAATCAGGGGTAGAGCAATCAGGGGTAGAGCAATCAGGGGTAGAGCAATCAGGGGCAGAGCAATTATGGGAGGGTGCTTGAAATTCCGCCTGCACCCATTCCTTCTCACTTTCCTATCGTCCACCCCATATGGCTCCACCCACCCACCCACCCACCCACCCACCCGCACGTGCGCGTACCTGAAGTTGTACTCGCTGTGTTGACCCGGCTTGGCCCACGGACTCCTCACCCGCTCTATCTCCACAATCCGCCATCCCGCCGCCTCAAGGCCTCTGCGGCTGTCCGCGCTCAGCTCCGCGGACACCATCGCCACCAGCTCCGCCTCCGCGGGCTGCGCCGCGCCTCCGCCGCTGGCGTTCGCGCTGGTGTACCCCGCGATGAGCGCGGGGGGCAGCGCGAGGCCGGTGGTGCGGAGGGCGTGCGCGAGCACGATGGCGCCGCACACGTAGTCGTCCTTGCTGTGTAGCACCGTCACGAACGCGAAGCGCGGGGGTGCGGTGGAGGGGGAATGCGCTACGGCTGGAGGGGACGAGCGGGGGTGACAAGGGGGCGCGAATGGGGGAAGAAACTAAGTGAATGGGAGGACTGTAGAAAGGGAGCAAAGGCTTGGCGTTAGCATCATGTGTGGGGAAGCATTTTGAACCTGTATTGAGGAAATATGTGCTCAGAAAGGAGGGTGCTTCATTGCAGCGCACCTGTGGCGGCGCCCCCGGTGGGTTGCGCCATGGCGCACGAACCGGGGGGTTGGATGCGCTCGCGCATGTCGGTCGCCGTCACGTTGTACACCCACACGTCGCCCTGCGGCCCCGCCCCCACGATGCCGTGCGCGGCGGCTTGCGCGGCGGGTTCCGGGCGCGCGAGGAAGTTGCAATGGAAGAGGTTGAGCGGCGGGCGACACGGCGACACGATCACGATCGGCATCCACGGACGCTGGGACTGCGGGAGCAGCGCGGGGGAGATCGGGGGGAAAAGAGCGAGGGGGGAGTTGCGGAGGCATAGTGCGCGGGGGAAAGACGAGATCGGTTTGATGCGGTGCGTAGATACCTTTCTCGCTTGCCTTGGCTCACACCTCAGCTTGTATCGGAAGACAAATCCGGCCGGCATGTCGGAGCGCACCTTACTGGCGAATCGTGCGATCGACAGCAAAACCTGCAGCCATCGCACGTCCCGCGCCATTGAGTTGGGCTCCGGGCGACACGGAACCACCGCAACCACTGCGTCTGCCACGTCATCGTTGAATCCGTCCTCCTCCCATGACGCGCGGGGGACAGCAGGGCAGGAGGAATTAAAGGGCTCGTATATACCAACATCCGGGTAAAAGTCATCCCACGTCGCGTTGCCTTCTGCTGCTGGCGGCGGGGAGAACGGCACGACTCGATATTGCGCTGTTCGCCCTTGCTTATGGTGAAATTTCACTGCACCATCAACGGTAACCGCAGCCACGCGTATTATCCGCGAATCATCAGCACGCTGCAGACTCCGCGCCGGCTGCTCCTGGGGATCCGTCCACCAGTTCCCCCCGTCGCGCAGCGCCGCCTCCTCTTCCCACGACGCCAGCGCGTCGAGGCCGCGCGAGAACGCCGCCGCGGTTGCGGCACCATCGGCGTTGATGCAATGGGATGGCGTCCCCTGCTCCGCCTTATCGGATTGAGATCTCTTGAGGGGGAAGCGGGCCACGTGGAGCACCAGTGTCACGAGAAGGAGAAGGAGCACGACGACACATTGCTCGAATCGGCTGCGGGGAACTGGGGCTCGCCGCGATGGTGGTGATGAGAGGATCGGCTTCCATCCCCAAAACCTGGACGGTATATTGGTAGTTACAACTGTCATCTTAATATCAAAGTTGTTTCTTCGTAGTAGCCGGGCACTAGCATGTCATGGGCGGGGTTCGTAGGCGAAACGAATGCTGAGGTGCGAGAAGGCGGAAGCCGTCGCAAGCTTCAGGCTCGTAGATCTAAACGGCCTACTACTCGCCCTAATGGGACATAAAACCAGCTCTGCGGAGAAGGCAGGACGGGTATGAGCTGGTGGGCCACCGCCGTAGTCGTTGTCAAAGGAGCCATCTATCCACCGCCTCGGACGGTGGTACCTAGCGCAGGCCACCAAAACCACCGTCGCAGGCTGAGGAGTGGTCCCCCTCAGCCGCACCCTGCGCCACCTCCCCATCGTCACGCTGGGAAGGTACACCTTCCGGTGAGTGACCCCCTACTACAGTACCCCAGGGAGGTGCCGTTGAGGACAATAAACGACGTTTGTCAAAGAAAGTATGTGCATCGGCGATGTCGAGCAGGGCTAGATGATAAGTTTCCAAAGGTCCGTATGCATTCGGGCCTCCTCGTAAAAATACGTGAAAATCTGGATCCTTGGAAAGTCTACCCTCTCGAGAGCGATTTTCCTACCAGTAACTATGAGCCTGGAAAATCACACCGTGGCCCGTCGATCTCGTTTTACTTTAGTTTCAGAGTTTACCTAAATCCCTGTCTTTTCAGCTACTTCCACACCCAAGCAGCCACAGGACACGTGAATATCTACTCTCAGCTCCCGGGTGGTGGGCAATCAATAACGGCGCGGGGATTTCCTACGATAGCTCCCAGGATATGCCCGCCGCCGGACACCGACCAAACAACCCGGGATGTGCGCCGTGCGATGCTGCTGAGCGATGAATAAATTACAATATCAAGGCTGGCGGTGCGGCCAGCATAACCTCGAAGTCCGTTGTCGCGTCGACTCGGCACCAAACCAGAGATGTGCATTCGTTTGATTCCTACCTTGATGCCAATTGGTGGCATCAGCCCTTTCATTTTGCAACCTTGCTTGGATGCCACCCTGTTTGGATGCCTTTCCCTTTTTTTGTTGCCTCGGGCAGGATGCCTGCTGGGCGATCCCATTGTCCTATATTAAAGCGACGGTGCACATTTGCCACCCAAAACCCAGAACCCTGGCGAACTGTTACTGCAGATGAAAAGTGTCTGCACGAAATCCTGGTTTTCGCCAGCCAACACTTTCGCGCTGGCAAGCCTGGTTCAAAAAAAAAAACTTCTGAACCCAACACTGCCAAAAGTTGCCCGTCGTTTTAACCTGATTCAGAGTTGTAACATGCTGCGTACACGCAGATTTCATTTCCTCAGAAAACATTCATATCAGGAGCCCGGCCATATCCCGCGCAAGCGTCAGTGACATATTAGTTACCCCTCCCTTTTGGGCGACTGCCCGGAAAGCCACACATACTCCACAAACCTCCGCCTAGAGTTGTACAGAAATTAATTGCTGTTAGACATCTACTTTTGTGAAGTTTACACCTCATGCCCAGCATGATCGCCAAATTTGTTGTGCTACTCACAATGCCAGTCACTTTTGCAGCTCAGTACTGACAACAGTACCCAGGTTAGTGACGTATTATTGACTCATACCAGGGCTAAAATTTGGATCTGAACAACCCTTGCGATCAGTGTTGCACAAGTTCAAAAACCTGATTATCATTGTGACACCTTGTACAAAAGCTGATTCATCAGGGTTTTTCTTGTTCTTGAAAATTCTACCCTGTGTCATCAGTGTACCAGATTCTCAAACCCTAGGGTATTGTAATTATCGTTGCACTCAATGGTGAATAATAGTTAAATCGTGCCAGCACATGTATTCTTGAGGGTGAAGTTTCGGTTTCGATAGTTGGAAATCGGGAATCCAGGGTTACGGAAAAGGGGGGGTGGGGGAAGTGGGTGGCGTGGGAGGGGGAGAGGGGAGGGAGGTATGGTACTTCAGGGTAAAGCTCGTTAAGAAGATCGGTAATCCTGAGTCATCAATGTGCCTTAAATGTAGACCCTGGTATATCAGGAAAATGATTGCTACTGAAAGAAATACCCTAGGCCATCAATGTGACTACAAAAACCACCCTGATAATCAGGGTACCAGGGTAATTTACACTGTTAAAATTTGCCCTTCTCATACACAACAAGCGCTGCAAATGAAAATACGTGGAGCTTCAGGACATCTACTTCTAAGCTTGTGCGACATTAGGTTTTGACGTGAAAAGCCTCGCAATGGCTGAAGGTACTTTATACATGGCTATGAAGAGAGCATGTGAACGACGTTGGTAGAGCACTCGGTCCCACGCAGCTGTTGATTCCCCTTCCCAAGAAGCTTCCTGAGCACACAAGAGGACAAGGCACCAGTATGATTTACTGGCTGGAAGCCATAAAAGCTCGTTGAATAACATGCACAAGAAGAGGAGACACAGCGTTCACCTGCGAGTCAGAAGGCTGCTCCTGGTGCCCTTTTCGCTTCCAGAACACCCAACTCTTGGGCACAACCCGCCCCCTTCTAGGCAATGCCTCCACCTCAACCTCTGCCTCCTGCACCCTCATCTCCTCCTCCACCTCCTGCCCAGCAACCCCCTGCTGGTCCTGTTGCGGAGAGCTACCTACACAGCTGTCGTGAACTCCCTCAAGCTCTCCTCCTCTGCATGACACTGGATAGCCACACAGCCCTACCACCTCTGACGCTCTGCTGCCTCCACGCACCCTGTCCGCCTGCTCTGGCCCCTCGAGCAGCAGGCAGCGCAAGCGAGGCGGCAGGTGCAGGTGGAAGGAGTGAGCTGCTCGCAGCAGCCCATCGCCCCTGCGCAGCGCGAGAGGGCAGCACGCGAGGAGGGGGGGGGGGGGGGGAAGGGACGGATTGAGTGGGTGAGGAGGGGGCCGGGAGAGTGAGGGCAAGCGGAAGCTACGCGTGTAACTTGCTGCCGAAACTGTGGCTGCATGCACACAGATACGTGGAGAAGGACGGCAGGAGCTGCGGCATAGTGCAAGAATAGTGCAAGAAGGGAACGCGTGGATTGCAGAGGGCAGCTAATAGAGAAGGCAGAGGCGTGGTGTTGGAGAGGGGGCACGTACTCAAGAAGGAAGCTGCTCTTGAGCTGCATGGCACGCGCCTTGAGAGCCGGCTGCAGCAGCAGGCGCAACGAGGAGAGGAGGCGGCGAGGGGAGATGCGGTGGATGGGCAGAGCCGGCGGAGCCACTCCCAGGCTGTGCAGCACCGCAGCCCTGGGGGGAGATTGCGGGACGAGGTGCATGCAAGAGGAGCATGGCATGGATGGACGGATGAAATGTAGCTGTGTGCCTTGTGGTAGACAGAACGGGCGTACAAAAACATGAGCAAGACTTCTGAATTGGCTCAGAAACAGGACTACCGAGTGAGGCAGAGTAGTGTGTGGTAGAGTGCAGGTGCGTGGTACCAGAAGTGCTGGTCTCCGAAGAACGGCATGGGCAGGATGGGGCAGCCCGCCCTGATAGATGCTGCCACTGTGCCCGCCCCCCCATGGTGCACCTGCCCATGCCACACCACACCACACCACACCACACCACACCACGTGTGCATTGGCATGGGAGACATGCAGACAGAGGAGAAGGGAGAAACGGAGAGCAGTTGGAAGAGATGTGGTGCGCCCGTCGGAAACAAGGGCTGAAACCCTTCATGCATGACGGCCAGAGAACAAGGAACAGGGGTATGTCGCGAGGGGTGTGAGGGACTGGCTACTTCTGCTCTACTTGTGCCAACCGAGAGCTGTGGGTGGATTGACTCACCGTGGCAGAGCAGTGGGGAACGAGCCAGTCATGAGCCACGGACCCAACAAACAGCACACTCCCTTGCCGCACCACCTCACACTCGCCCTCCCCTCCTCCCTCCCCAACCCCCCCCCCCTCCTCCGCTCCCCCCTGAGAACCTCCGCCCTCCACACTCCCTCCTGCTTCCCTCCCTCCCACATTCCTCTCCGAACGCTTGCCTCGACGACCTTTCCCCCCACTCTTCCCCCCTCCTTCCTCACCCATCCTGCCCACACCTGCACGGCCCTTCCCCCCCCTGCGGATGCGCCCTCCTGCCACGAGGCAGTGAGAGGAGGAGCAGCAGCGGTGCTGGTGAATGGCAGCGCTGCCAATGATGGCGCGCACGCCCAGCAGCGCCACAGCCTTGAGCACACAGCGGGCCACGTAGCACGGCCTGCTCAGCTGCATGCTGCCATACGCCAGGAAGAGAGGCGCAGGGCCCTCGGCAAGGAAGGACACGAGGGCGGGCGAAGGGTGGAAGGAGGGCGGTGACGGCGGGAGTGGGTTGTGTGGCGGTGCGGGTTTTTGTTCCCCTTCCTCCTCTGCCTCTCCTGCTTCGCCTTCTGCTGCTGCTACTGCTGCAGCTGCTGCAGGCCTTGCTGCCTCCTCCTCCGCTGCAGCGAATAGCGCTGGTGATTCAGGCGATGGTGCTGCTGCTGACTCACGAGCCTGCCCTTGAGATGAAGATGAGGATGGGGTTGCTGGGGAGGCGGCAGCGGCAATGGCTGCTGTGGCGCTTGGGGACGGATGCAGTGGGGGGTGGATGAAGCCCACCACGTCCACCAGGTCGTTCCAATCACTGCCACACACACACACACACACACACACACACACACACACACACACACACACACACACACACACACACACACACACACACACACACACACACACACACACACACACACACACACACACACACACACACACACACACACACCACACACACACACACACACACACACACACACACACACACACACACACACACACACACACACACACACACACACACACACACACACACACACACACACACACACACACACACACACACACACACACACACACACACACACACACACACACACACACAGTTAATCATTGAATTGAACGAATCGCAGAGCGTAACCAGTTACCCAACCGCACGCATGCACGTGCGATGTTCCAACGCACAGGAGCATGAAAAGCAGCAACACGGGATGTGGCAGGAGAAGGAGGGCGCAATTCTAAGCACATGGGCACAGGCACACGGGCAACAAGCAGCAGCGCAGCAAAGGATGGGGGGTATCGGACCTTGGCTTGGGCGCGAGGAGAGGGCTCCAGGAGAAGGAGAAGGGGATGGGCAGGCGCAGCAGGTGGGAGAAGGGACGGTCTGTGAGGAAGAGAGGGTCCAGGTGTAGAGTGCGCGTGCGGAACTGCAGGCGCGGGGGAGAGAGCGGGAGGGAGCAGGGAGAAAGTAGTGAGAGGAGGAATATGACGGCACGGGAAAGTCAGGGAATAAAAGGGGGGGTGGGGTGGAGGGGGCGCGGGGGGGTTCAGGGGAAACAAGGAGTGGGCGATAAGACAGACTGCGAAGGGGAAGTGGTTTATGAAAGAGCAAGTGGTAGAGTGGATGGGTGAGCGCATGACGTGGACATGGGGCGTTTGTGCTGGGACCAGATACCATTCGGAGGCTACACAACCGAACTATCAACATGCCCCTCACCCACACCCGCCACCCCTCCCTCAACCCGTACCCGCTATCCATCCCTCAGCTCAACCCACAACCCCCATCTCACACCCCTGGCCCCTGCCCCCTGCCCCCTAATGCCTGCCCCCTGCCCCAAAAGCCTGCCCCGTGCCCCCTGTCCCCTTATGCCTGGCCCGTGCAGGTGCAGGTGCGGTGCAGACCTGGTTGGTGATGTCCATGACGCCCGCGCCCACAAACGCCTCCACCAGCCGGTACGACCCGCGGTGCACGCGCGCCCGCACCCACGCCGGCGACAGGAACGCCAGCGACCGCAGCGCCGAGGGGGAGAATGGATGCGCGTATGCCCCCGTGGGGCTGGCAGGGGGAGGAGAGGTGCGCGGGCGGAGATGGGGGGAAGAAAGGGAGGGGAAGGGGGAGGGGTGGAAAGATAAGATTTGGAAACGGACAGGTGATGGAGAGTGAGAAAGGTGATGTTGGAGCATGGAAGTGGGTGTTTGGAAGGATGAATGTATGGGCGCGTGGCATGGGCGCATGATGGACGAATGGCGTGTGAAACTGGTGGCAGCGACATGGCATGGCAGGGGGGCTACATGGGTGGCACATACCGCCATGGCATGGTGAAGAGGATGTGCAGATGAGCGCCCAGCTTCTGCGCACAGTGCACGTGACCTGGTGGGAAGAGGAAAAGGTTTCAGGAGGAGGCCAGTATATGAGGTCGGCATGGGTGAGAGTGGAAAATTACGGGCGCACAGAGCAGAAGAGACAAGTAAATGCAGCAGTGTGCTTGTGCAAGGGGGGAGCAGTAACAAGCAAGGGGGGGGCAATAACAAAGAAGGAAGCAACGATCCAAGCAACCGCTCAATTGTGCAGCAGTACCTGCAGCAGGCGGGTTGGCGATGATAGCATGCGGCCTGAACCTCCTGCTGCTGCTCCCTCTTGCTCCTGTCCCAACTCCCTCCCCAGCTGACTGCCATGGCCTTTCTCCTTCCCCCCGCCCATCCCCATGCCTATCCCCATGCTCATTCCCATTCCCAGTCACAGCGTCCCCCTCCACATGCCGCTCCTCTCCGCCAATTCCATTCCCTGCTTCACAGGCGCGCCCTGTGCTGGGTGGCCGTGGCCCTGCAGGGTGCGGGAAGGCAGCAGTGCAGGCAGGCCACGTGGACTCCAGGATGGCCCGGTACTGCTGCCGCAGCAGCCGCAGCTCCGAAAAGCTCCTGGGAAACACGCCGCCGTTCCTCACCATCACTGGTGGAAGGGGAGGAACAATGCGGACAAGGGCACTGCAGCTTCAGCCATGCGCTCACATGGCGATGGATGGGATGGCTTCTGCAGACCAGGAGCACACGGCGGGGAGAAGAGAGGGAGTGTGTGAATGCAGGGGGCATGGCTTGATTGCAGCACCTGAATCACACGGCACCTGCGTGGCGAGCACCATGGCTGGCCGGCAGCAGCAGTGATACATGCTCCAAACCTGGCAGCAGTCAGGAGGAGCCAACGCCAGCAGTGCAGCGAGTGAGCACGCAGCACTCACACGTGCTGAGAGCAGTAGGATCGCCTGCAAGCGGATAAAAGTCCATCTGTCCTCGCCCCCCGGCCCTCTCCCCCACACCGCTTTCCATCCCCATCCCCTCTTTTGATCCCTTGTCCAATATGCTGCTTCCCAAAAGGTCCTTTTTTTCCCTTTCTCCCTCACTGCCCTCTTCACCTCCTTCCTCATCTCCCTCCTCCTTATATTCACGCGTTCCCCCTTGGCCTCCATCCCCCCCTCGCCCATGTCGCTCCCCCTCATCATGGTCATCCACCATTCGCTGCATGCACTGCAGCACGAGCGGACCGTACTCCGCATGGCTTGCTAACCTGCTCGCCATAGATGGATGCCATGCGTGACATGCCATGCCGGTCATGCATGCCAGGACATGCATGCCAGGCCAAGCCACACACCGAAGTAAGCACGCACGCACAAAACGCATGCACGAGTGAAGATGAAGAGAGATCGACGAGGGTGCACTATACTGTGCTGCGCCATAATAAACGAGGACACAGCACAATGTTGACACACACAGCGGCTGGCAGGCAGGAATGGCACGAGGATGACATGCCCAACCTAATTGCAACAAGTCGGCTGCTGTGTTGAAGCAACCAGCTCTCTCTTCCTACTCAATAACCACCACCACCAGCTCTCTCTCTGCTGTGACCACGCACCTATGCTGATCGCGTCACCACCACTCTCTCACCTTCTGCTTGTTTAAAATAAAGTTAATAAAAAAAGCACACAAACATCTGCCTGAAACCTTCAATTTTTCTCCTGATCCGTCTGCATCGGGTCATCTCCTAGGCACCGAGTGGTCTTCCGCAGTGTCCAACCCCGCCCGCTTCACCTGACTCGATGGCCGTATCGCACGGCAAGGTGCATGGCGAGCGCGAGGAACGGCAGCACGTCGCCGAGAGTGCCGGCAGCCATGAGCAGAACGTCCATGTCGCCCGCGCCGCCAAATCGGCTGCACCCAGCTCCAACCTCCAACTTGTCAATCACCCAATCGGTTGCTCGTATGGCTCACGATTGCCCTTGTCTCTCTGCCTCACGACGACGCTTTCCACAAGTGCTTCCTTTCCTCCTCGCGCGTCTTGCCGAGACGACTGCCTTCCCAGACAAGAAAGTGCTTGATTCCTCGTGGATATATGCGCGGCACGCGTCAGTCGCCGAAGTCTCTTCCGCTGGGTAAAGCCTGAAGCGCAGTCGCAGGCGAAAGCCACCATAACAACCAAGCCACACGGCTATCCATCCATTCGGCCGTGATCTGCTTCGACGCTGCTCCATCTGCCTCACACGACACGGCATCCAAGAGCGCGCTGCAACACGCAAGAAGCTGCAACGACGGCTCAGCACAGGGACTCCGGCGCCACGCTGGTGAGTTCCTGGTTTAGGGTAATTCGCGGTAAATCTGCTTGGCGATGTGCCAGCTGGGCACCGTGAGGGGCAGTGGTGTCCTCGTGTGAGCTGTCCGAAGCGCCATGGCAGGGAGACTACGGTAGGGCGTGGAATGCGTAGGGAGACAATTGCCTGTACAAGAATGTGGAAATTACTCATTTTCAACTTCAGGCACAAGCAAGGTGGGCGATTCAGTACCGGTGGTACTGATGAAAGTGAATAAGTACAGCTATCCAATAATTATATAATTATGCTTTGTGAGTGTTATTGCCAGCAATTGCCATAATGAAGATGCATTCATGCCATATTAACAATTTCACGACTGATGTATGTGCTGCGTTTCATCAACGTACTGCTCGACATGTATAGATATTCGTTGGTTTGGACCAAAAGAAACTAGCAAACCTAGTCGCCTTATTACAGCTAAACAAATCACATCAGCCAAGGGCAAATATTCTTGCATGTAAGGATGGAATTTAAATCAGCTCTATGTTTTCTGAAAAAATACTTTATGATTCACGCTAATAAAGTAAAATCAAGTTGGAATTGATATTTTGATAAGGAGCCAGCATATACTTTTCAAAGTTAAAACAGCTTGTGCAGACAGTGCTGAGGTGCTTGTATCGTTTTTTGAGAGGCTCCATATGATTGGATTGGCTCGTCATCCATCCGACGTGTATGCCTCCGTGGCATCCCTGCCCACTAACAGCAAACCTGAGGCTTCGTTGGTTTGGCGATATCCACGTGAAACGACTTTGTGTCTTCCTCCTCGCGTTTTGATTGGGCATCAGTCCCATATGATTTTTGCGATTATTTCGGCTCTGCATCGCAGCGGTTCCCGAGCCTTTTGCAAGATATCGACGGTCCCCTTTGCTTCTCCTAGCCAAACCTGGTTCGTGAGTGGGTCTTGGTGAAGACCATTTCTTTTTCCCATGTTCTCTCTACTTTCATTTGCACTTCCCTGTTCAGACAAGATCTGAACACGCAGCAGCCATGGCGACCGCCACCTTCCAGGCTACCCTGCCCTCCACTGGTGCTACCAAGCTTGGTGGCCAGCGTGCCTCAAAGCTCTCTTCACAGGTAGAGATTTTGGGTCAAATCTTCGGTTTTTTCGACTTATCTAGACGGCGGGTTTGACTTATCTATCGTCGTGCTTGGCAGATTGTTGGGGTTCCCGTTTGCGGGTCCCTTGCAGGCAACAATGAGCTGAAGGCTAATGTCAAGTCATTCGTTAGGGTTCAGCGCCGCAAGGTAACAATATGTCCAGTAGCCTAAGTACGTACCTACCCGTTTTCGGTTCTTCTCGAGCTGCACTAACGTCTGCTGGTACTGGTTCCCAGGTTGGCGGGTTTTCCGTGCAAGCGCTCGCGCAGCGAGCCGAGTACATCTGGATGGATGGCCTGGAAGGCACCAAGGGCCTTAAGTTCAACGAGATGCGCTCGAAGACCAAGGTGCTCCAGGATCCGCGTGAAATTGGATCCCTTAACTTCCCCGATTGGTCCTTCGACGGCTCCAGGTGAGCCACCAAACCGGCCGCTTTTTCTATGAAGTTAGCCCCAATGTTTGTGCCTCAGGTGGACTAAAAATGTGCTATTTTTACAATGCAGCACTGGTCAAGCCGAGGGCCACAGCTCCGATTGCATCCTTCGCCCTGTGTTCACTTGCCCGGATCCCATCCGCGGTGGCAACGATGTGCTTGTCCTCTGCGAAGTGTTGAACCCTGACAGCACCCCTCACGCGACCAACACTCGCCGCAAGCTCGCTGATCTCCTGAACCCTGAGATTTTGGAAGCCGATACCTGGTTCGGATTCGAGCAGGAATACACCATGTTTGGCAGGACCGGTCGTGTCTACGGCTGGCCCGAGATCGGCTACCCCGATCCTCAGGTAATGTCACCCATGTTGCTTGCTGTACCTCGAGTCTCTTGGTTTACGTCGGTTCTGACCTCTCCCTCTTTGCGCTCATTTCAGGGTCCTTTCTACTGTGGTGTTGGTTTGGAGGCCGTCTACGGTCGTCCTCTTGCGGAGGCCCACATGGATGCGTGCATTAAGGTACAATTTCACTTCCGTGTCTTTCTTGCCTATCTTTGATCGAATATCCACCCCTATATATCAAGATCCTGTCAAGCCCCCGGTTTTGCGTTTCAGTCCGGCCTGAAGATCAGCGGTATCAACGCCGAGGTCATGCCCGGACAGTGGGAGTTCCAGATTGGTCCTGCCGGTCCTCTCGAGGTCGGCGACCACGTCATGGTCGCCCGGTGGCTCCTGAACAGGTGTGCTCTTGTCGTTTGCTAGACATAGAAGCTGGAGTGTCACCCTTTCGAGTCTATCACTTCGCTGACAAGACTATATGGGTGGGCATTCCAGGCTGGGTGAGGACTTCGGCATTGTCGTGACCCTCGACCCAAAGCCCATGCAAGGAGACTGGAACGGCACTGGCGCACACACCAACTACTCGACCAAGGCCATGCGCCAGGAGGGTGGCATCAAGGTCAGTATACAAGGAATCAACAGGGACTTACCAAGGGTTTTATTTGGAACATGAACTTGACAAACCACATTTTTTAAACTGCCAGGCCATTGAGGAAGCCATTGAGAAGCTGTCGAAGAGGCATTACGAGCACATCTCCAACTACGGCATTGGCAACGAGAAGAGGCTGACTGGCAAGCACGAGACTGCCAACATCAACACTTTCAAGTGAGTGTTTGTCTGTCGAGTTCAGACCTAAGCACACGTCATGTGCCCAGCTAGCTTTTACTGAACTGTAATGTTCTGCTTTGCAGGTCTGGTGTTGCTGACCGCGGTTCCTCTATCCGTATTCCTCTGGGAGTTTCCCTGGAGGGTAAGGGTTACCTCGAGGACAGGCGTCCTGCTGCCAACGCTGATCCCTACGTGATTGCTCGTCTCCTCATCCAGACCACCCTTACGTAAACATGACGCTGTATCCCATTCTGGATAGATACATTTTTTGATAGGTTTTTTGGCATTCCAGAATCTGATGACTGCGTCAAAGATTTTGAGAGAATGAGATCATTTTTTGTTAAATACCAACCTAGGGATCAATCAATGCCTACTCTCTGCTTGTTGGCAGATAGTTTGCGTACCGCACAGGGACGGAAGCACAGATACGGTACTACACAATCTGCAAAGTTGTTGGGTACAGATCAGAAATCTGAGCTGGTGGTTTCTGTCACGAGAATTTCTAGCTCACCAGTGTAATTTTCCATGAGGTCTCATGTCTAGATCATTGTTTACCAAAAGGAAACCTTGGACAATCTCCATAATTGCTGGAGAGACATGTAACCCTTGATTTTAGAGAGGTACTTGGAGCGTTGCATTATATGATGGAATACTCAACTGCCATTGTATGCAGGTCACACCTAATCACCACATTGCGGCTTCTTCTTTCTAGGTGGAGACATAAATATTGCACCTCGAAAGCAGCGAGAGCACAGAACAAGACGCTAACTAGTCACTAATCCCAGGAGAGGTCCTGGAAGGGGCTGGCAGCCAGCCTGTCATCCACCACGGAGTTGCTGCGGCCTTTGGCGCGCCGCTTCTCCATCGTTGCCATGCGCACCAACCCAAAGGCCCCCCCCTTGCTGCTCGCCTTGCTCTCACCACCATCCCTGTCGCCCGCTGCACCCCCCTCAACTGCACCCGGGCGCGACAGCAGCGAGCCGAGAATGCCGGCCGCACCGCCCGTGCTGCCAGCGCCGCTGCTGCGCTGCCTCCTGTGCCGCGCCTCCACGCCGCTGCTCGACCGCGTGAACGCCCTGCCGCCCTCACTTCGCCTCTCCTCCCCCGGCTCCCCCTGCTCTCCCCCCCCCATGCCGCCCGCCAGCCACCCCATGCCTGCGCCTCCCCCACTGCCGCTGCTGCTGCCGCCTCCACTCCGCTCGCGCCGGTGCCTCGCCTCCACTCCACTGGCCGACCGAACCAGACCCCTTCGAGGGTTGCGAGCATCCACACGTGCCGGGCCTGCTGCGGGTGGTGGTGGAGCTGCGGGTGCCTTTGGAAGAAAGGAGTTGTCAAAGGGGCCCAGGGCGGACGTGACAGCAACGCCAACGCTGCCGGTGGCGCCGATGCTCATGCCACCGCCCGCACTGCGGTTGCGGCAGTGCCTCGGCTCCACCCCACTGGCCGACCGCACCAGCCCCCTCCTCGCCTCCCTCCCACCCATCTGCACCGCACCCCCCACACCTGCCCCACTGGCCTGCCCGCCTGCCTCTGCCTGCCTCTCTGCATGCCAAGCGCTGCTGCTGCCACCGCGCCTGCTGCTGCTGCTGCTGCTGCTGCTCTCGTGCAGAGTGCTCGCCCGCAGCAGCATCACGCCCCCCTCCTCCTCGCCCCCTCCGCCACCCCCCTCTCTCCCAGGCGACCCCCCCACGCGCCCTGCCCCCCCCGCTGCTCCCCACGCGCCCAGGCGGGCCGGGCTGCGGGCGGAGGCAGGGGGGGAGGGGCGGGAGACGGGGCGGGCGAGGGGCACGGGGGAGCAGGAGGGGGAGGTGGAGGAGGGGGAGGCGTCGAGGCTGCGGTGGCGCGAGTGGGAGGCGAGGCGCAGCAGCGAGTGCATGGACGGCGCCACACACCGCACACTCGCCTCGCGAGGGCTCTCCTCCCCCGCCTCCTCGCCCCCACCCTCCCACGCCGCCCCCCCTGCTGCGCCCATTGCCCCCCAAGGTCCCCGCGTCAGTCCATCCCTGCCCACAGCCCCCCTGCCTGGTCCGCCCTGCAGAACCCTCCCCCGCCCCTCCCACCTTTCTCTCCCCACCGCCCCCCCTCGCCCCTCCCCAAACGCCCGCGCCCCGCCGCCCACACGTGCGCGCTGCTGCTGGGCTCTCTTGCGCCCAATGTCGTCTTCACTCTCGCTCCCTGACCCACTCCCACTGCCCCTCTCACTCCCACTCCCACTCTCAATCTCACTTCCACTCTCACTCTCACTACCACTCTCCGCGTCTTGCCGTCTAGCCCTGCCTTCATCCCCCGCACACCTCTCCCTCGCCCGCCCACCCATCCTCCTCGCCTCCCCGCCCCTCTCCCCACTCCGCCCCCTGAGGCCCCTCCCCCCGCCGCCACGCTCCTCCCTGCCGCTCCGCCTCTCCGCCGTGCCCGCCTTCACGCCCTCCTCGCTGCTCTCCTGCACCAGACCCAGCGGCCGCTGCTGCAAAGGGCGGGGCGGGTGGGGAAGGGGAGGGGCTAAGAGGGTTAAGACGAACAAGCAGACAGAGAGACTCAGCGGGCGGCAAGACCACGTGGCCATGGCATGGGGCCCACTCGCCACGCTGCTGCGCCCTTGCCCGCATACCCTGCCCCAAGTGCACCCTCCCCCTGCGTCTGCCGCGCCCTCTCTCTTACCGCATCGTCCCCCCCCTCCCGCCTGCCCACCTGCCGCACCCCCGCGCCCTGCGCGGCTCACCTGGCTGTCCGCGCGTTCGGGACTCAGCGACCGCTGTGACCCCGGGGACGCCCACCCATACCCTCCGCCCGCCGCTGCGCCCATCCCCCCTCCGCCTGCAACTGCCCACGCGCCTATCCCTGCATGTGGGTTTAGGTGCGCGCTGTAGGGGGGGCGGGCGGGGGCAGCTCTCGGTTGCGCAGGGAGGAGGGGGGGGGGCCTCCGACGGACGAGGAGCGCAAGAAGGGCGGCGCGAAGGCGGCTCTGGGGGAGGCTTCATCTGCCTGCGTCCACGCCGCCCACCCGCGGGCGCCGTGGTTGCCGCTGGGAGGAGGACGACCGAAAGGGGAGGACGACGCGGGGAGGGACGGGGTGGACTGTTTGTGGGGCCCGGGGACGGGGGCGGAGGGGGAGCAAGGGTCGTCCGCTGCTGCCCATGGGACGGGCGGCCGGGGGAATGCGCTGGCGCCACTGCTTGCTGGCGGGGGGGAGTCGAGCGGGTTGAGGGCGAGCGGCGGCTGGTTGAGTCTCGCGCGCGGCCGCAGCTCCATCGAAATGGCGCGCCGAAACGACCTCCGCCCTCCCCCCGCACCACCGCCGCCGCTGCCAGCCCCGCCCGCAGGAGCGGCGGCCTCCAATGCAGTCCCCTGCGTCTGAGTGACACTCGTGCTGCGCCCGAACCCGCCTCTCACGGGCGGCTTGCTGCTGGCGGAGGGAGGCGCAACGAACGGCGCAGACGCGCGGGACAGACTACCGACGGCGCCAGTGCTGCCGCTCATGGCGCGGACAGCCGGCGCAGCGCCCCCGCCGATCCCAGCGCCCCCACCGCCAACGCGCACTTCGTCGCCCGCCCTGGCGCCACCCGCAGTGCTGCCGCCGCCCATGCTCGCTCCGCTTCCGGCGCCCTCGCTGCTGCTGAAGGGCCCGTTTAAGGTCGTCCCCCCACACTCCCCCGCCAGGCGCCGATCTCTTGCGCCCGCCGCGCCCACAGGCGCGGAAGCCGGCGGGCACTTGGGCACGGGCGACGACGTCGTGCGCCTAAACTCGCGCACTGCCCGCGGGCAATACTCCGCCGCCCCTCCTCCCCCTCCTCCTGCGGCTGCCCCATTCGCCGCAGAGCGACCGCCCTCCCAGTCGCTACTGCTGGCCTCGTAATCTGCGCCCTGTCTCCCCCCGTACTCCTGATCCACCGCCGCTTCAGGCGGCGACGGCGGCGACGGAGGCGATGATGCGGCGGGCGGAGGAAAGGAAGGGCGGTCAGGGGAGAGGTCGGGGTCGTACTCGAATCCCTGCGCGGGGAAGGAGTGGAAGGGAGGAGTTATATGAACGGGGAAGGTGAGAAGGGAGAGCAATGGTGGTAGGGTTAGGTCAGGTAGGAGGAGCGTCGAAGCAAAAGTAGTAATACGCGCGGTGTGCGGTTGTCGCTCGGATACTCCACGCGCCGCAACCCCATGGACGGAGTTATTGGTGCGAAATTTCGGAAATGAGTGGTACGGAGCGGTACTGAATGGTGCATACCGGCGGGGGGAGCGGCACGTCGTCAGCGAGAACGGTGCCGAACATTTCAATCTGCCGCTGTCTCTCTCTCTCCTCCTCCTCTGCCGATCGCACCGTCCTTTGCATCTGCTGCTGCTGCTGCTGCTGCTGCTGCTGCTGCTGTTGCTGTGCTTTCAACGCAGCAGCGCGATTGGGTAGCGACACGGTTCGTAGCAGTGATGGGGCCACGTTTGCTTCCCGAACCTGCGCTGACGAACCTGCAGCGGAGCCCCGGCGGGAGGCTTCAGCGGATGAGTTGGAATTGGACGAACCGAAGAATGAACCCATCTTGGACCATCCGCGAAACTTCCTCTGCTGCTGCTGTTGCTGCTGCTGCTGGCTGTTCTGCAAGCCGTAAAGGGCAGCGAAGGACCGCTCGAGGCTGATGGTTCGGGGAAGCTCGTCCGGCATGCCGCCATCGTCTGACGCGCCGTACGGCGACACGTAAATCGACATGAGCGATGGCTAATCATCCAGCTTCAAGAAATAAATTAGGATCCTCAATCGCACAGTGCAGATCGCTTAAGACCAATATGTTATGATATGGCGGAAATGAATCTAATGGCGTATAATTGGTTACGCAAACAATATCCAGGCACGTTGTGCGCAGTCCAGGATGCTTCGAGATTGAAGCGCGCGGAAGCAGCAGCTCGCATCCGCTTCCTGTAGGATATCGTCGTTAAAGAGGCTGTGCTGCCGAGCCGTTCACGGCGCTAAGGCATCTAAGTATGTAGTTTTGTGTCGAGTCACACATTACCCCAGGTTGCGATGAGATCGGGTTGCCTCACCATCATGCCTGACTTTTTTGGTGCGAAGGGATGTGTGAAGAGGATGACTTTCTTGGGGGAAAAATGCGCTCATAGTGTCGTACTCTACACTGTATTCGAAAGGTGGTACTGTATACACAGCACAGTGCGGTGTAGTGCACAATCCGACAATACCGGAGGCAGGAAGGGAGGGAGGCAGTCATGAATGCGGCGATCATCACGACGGGGACGACGACGAACGACGAGGCGGGTGACGACAGGGAGGCTGGTGGGAAGCGCAGTGTGTCCACCAACCTTTGCTTGTATCGAGTTTCCCAATTCCTTCACACTTCTAATATATACCAAACAAAATACACTCACTTCACAAGAAAAACACCAAAAGCTTCAGCTTACCATTGACAACTGCTATGCCCAATCATCCACCATAATATAAATCCTACTGAAAGGCATGGCTTGCTCAGCTGACCGCTTCACATAACTCAAAACTTCACCCCTGTTGAATGGCCGTTCACATAGCCAGCAGCAGCACCAGAGCAGCCCCTGTGACAGCAACCACAGTAATTAGGGTGTCAACAGCAGTATCCGCTGCAGCCGCCTTACCATACAGGCGGGAAGCGGTGGGAGGCGCACTGGCAGCAGAATCAGAAGCTTTAGCAACCGAACCTGCCGGCATGGGTGCTGCTGCTGGGCTGACAGACAAGGGCGGTGCTGCCATTACAACCGGGAAGACGGGTGCTGATGACAAGGGTGGGGCAGCCAGCCCCCGGGAGAATTTGGGGGGGAAACGAACGTTTCGGGAACGGGGGGTTTGTGCAGCGTGGAGGGCGGGCGAGGAGAGAGTGACTGGGGCAGTTGGGGGAGAGGGAGCAGGGCTGGGGACAGAACCAAGCAAAGGGCGAGGCAGGGCAGGAGGAGGCAAGCGGGGTGGATCAGAGGGCTTAACAGCAGGAGGGGAAGGCACTGAGGGAAGATTGGGAGTGGAGATTGGAGTGAGAGGCGGATGAAGGGGCGGAGAAGACGGGTCGGTGACAAGAGCAGCAGGAGGTGAGGGTGGAATGGAGTAGAGTGCAGAGGGGCGGTGGAAACTAGGTGCACGGGGGAATTGAGCAGGGGAAGCAGGGGAAGCAGGGGAAGCAGGGGACGCAGGGGAAGCAGGGGCGAGCGGCAGGGAATCATGAGGGTCAAAGTGGTAGTCATCCGTGGGTGCTGGTGGGTATGCCAGGGGAGGGGACATGGAGGCGACGGGAGGGGCAGGGGAGTCGTAGAGGGCAGGCGGGGTGTTGAATGGAGGACCTGGGCAGTGGGGGCAATGGGTGGTAGGGCATGGGGTGGTGAGGCATATCAGGAGATAGCTCACAGAACATACACGTTGGGGAACTGAAGAACTGACATAGCAGCTGCGACAGATGGCACACTCATGCATGATGCAAGCAAACCAACCAACTCATCCCCGCAGCTCTCAACCCATGTGTATTCCCCCTCTAACGCCAACCAATCCCCTTGACTCTTCCCTCTCTCCTCCTCTCGCCCCCCTCGCCCCAGCAGTTCCGCTCCCCCGCAATGCACCTGTAGAGGGCGCACAGGCGGCGCAGTAGCGAGGGCAGAACGAGCAGAAGGCAGAGAGGGGCAGCGGGGAGACGGGGCAAGAGGCGGGGGATGGGCAGACAGGGCCTGGGGACTCGTTGCTGGGCCAGATGGAGCTGGGGAAATGAGACGTGGGGAAGGGTGCGAGAAGGGGGCGGGAAGGAGGGAAGAAGGGCGGGGGGAGTGGAGGAGGAGGCAGGACAGTAGTACGAAGGAAGTTGAAAAGGGGAGGGAGAGGAGGAGAAGTGGAGAGGGGAAAGCGATGTGAGTGACATGGACGAGTTTGTGTGGATGAATGGATGGAATGGATGGAAGGATAGGAGGGTGGGTGAATGCACCAGTGGTTGGGTTGACGTCAACGGATGGTGGTTGTGGGATGGTGGTTGTGGGATGGTGGTTGTGGGATGGTGGTTGTGGGATGGTGGTTGTGGGATGGTGGTTGCGGGATGGTGGTTGCGGGATGGTGGTTGCGGGATGGTGGTTGCGGGATGGTGGTTGCGGGATGGTGGTTGCAGGATGGTAGCTCACAGAATGTAGAGGTTGGGCAGGGAGCCGAGCGCGGGTGGAATGGCACCAGAAAGATCATTGTACGCCACATCGCTGCGTAGGGATGATAGGCGGTGATGAGGGGCGCGAAAGGGGTGCAGAGGGAGTGAGGAAGGCGGAGATGAGGGAGGGAGAGACGAGGGGAGCGAGAAAGGAGGACACAGGAAAGGGAGATGGGGGGAGAAGGGCGCAAGAGAGGAAGAGATTGCGAGAGTGGAAAATGTAGAGGGCGAAACCCTGGTGAAAGGAGGGTGAGTGGCAGCACGGGCACATTTCAAGTCAGGCTCATGCAAAAACAGCAGGGGGGATGCTGTGGGAATGCCAAAGGCGCAATGGGCACAGCATGGCCGTGAGCATGGCTGTGTCGGTGCCTTCCCAGTGACTAGATTGTTATTGACCTCCTGCAAGACTCCCTTGTTATCCCCCCTTACATCCCTCTGTGCTGTGCACCTCAACCTGTCACACCACAGCACACCTCCCCGCCCAAGCCCTCTGCAGCCCTCCCCAGGGGCTCATTAACCCTCCCTCCCCCTCCCCTCCATCCCCTCCCTCCCCTGCCCTCTTTCCTCTCCACTCTCCACCCATTCCCCCCTGTCCCCTTCCCTCCGCGGCCTTACAGCATCTCGAGTTGCCACAAGCCCCCCAGGGATGCTGGAAGGGCGCCCTGGAGAAAGTTGTTGTTGAGCAGACTGCAGAGGGGTGGAGAGGGGACGAGAGATGCAAGTCGGAGAAAAGATTGGGAGGCACGCAGGGCGGTTGTGACGGAATGAGGGAAGACGCAACCATGAGGACCCATGGGGCAACACGAAAGGTGAGACCAAGGAGTCGTGAGGGCAGCAGGGAGGGCAGCAGGGAGGGCAGCAGGGAGGGAAGCAGGGAGGGAAGCAGGGAGGGAAGCAGGGAGGGAAGCAGGGAGGGAAGCAGGGAGGGAAGCAGGGAGGGCAGCAGGGAGGGAAGCAGGGAGGGAAGCAGGGAGGGAAGCAGGGAGGGAAGCAGGGAGGGAAGCAGGGAGGGAAGCAGGGAGGGCAGCAGGGAGGGAAGCAGGGAGGGAAGCAGGGAGGGAAGCAGGGAGGGAAGCAGGGAGGGCAGCAGGGAGGGCAGCAGGGAGGGAAGCAGGGAGGGAAGCAGGGAGGGAAGCAGGGAGGGAAGCAGGGAGGGCAGCAGGGAGGGAAGCAGGGAGGGAAGCAGGGAGGGAAGCAGGGAGGGAAGCAGGGAGGGAAGCAGGGAGGGCAGCAGGGAGGGAAGCAGGGAGGGAAGCAGGGAGGGAAGCAGGGAGGGAAGCAGGGAGGGAAGCAGGGAGGGAAGCAGGGAGGGCAGCAGGGAGGGCAGCAGGGAGGGCAGCAGGGAGGGAAGCAGGGAGGGAAGCAGGGAGGGCAGCAGGGAGGGAAGCAGGGAGGGCAGCAGGGAGGGAAGCAGGGAGGGCAGCAGGGAGGGAAGCAGGGAGGGAAGCAGGGAGGGCAGCAGGGAGGGCAACAGGGAGGGCAGCAGGGAGGGAAGCAGGGAGGGCAGCAGGGAGGGAGCAGGGAGGGAAGCAGGGAGGGCAGCAGGGAGGGAAGCAGGGAGGGAAGCAGGTAGGGCAGCAGGGAGGGAAGCAGGGAGGGCAGCAGGGAGGGAAGCAGGGAGGGCAGCAGGGAGGGAAGCAGGGAGGGCAGCAGGGAGGGAAGCAGGGAGGGAAGCAGGTAGGGCAGCAGGGAGGGAAGCAGGGAGGGCAGCAGGGAGGGAAGCAGGGAGGGCAGCAGGGAGGGAAGCAGGGAGGGCAGCAGGGAGGGAAGCAGGGAGGGCAGCAGGGAGGGAAGCAGGGAGGGAAGCAGGGAGGGCAGCAGGGAGGGAAGCAGGGAGGGCAGCAGGGAGGGAAGCAGGGAGGGCAGCAGGTAGGGAAGCAGGGAGGGCAGCAGGGAGGGAAGCAGGGAGGGCATCAGGGAGGGCAGCAGGGAGGGAAGCAGGGAGGGCAGCAGGGAGGGAAGCAAAAGGGCGTGGGGGAGGAGGTGGGTGAGCTTACAGCGTGTGCAGGAAGGGGAGAGTGCCTAGCGCGGGAGAGAGCGAGCCTGAGAGGCGGCTGCTGCTGAGGTCGCTGTGGGGTCATGAGAGAGGACCAGACAAGACGCACGAAGGGCACACGGGGAGGGCGGGGGTCGTGGTGATCGAAGGGGGGGTGTGGGTGGGCGGGTGTTGGAAAGGGAGTGGGCATGGAAGCAGGAAGGAGGCGGAAGCGGGGTGGAACGTAGAAGCGTGTGATTGAGCGGGCAAGTGGAGTGACTGTGGAAGGGAAAACAACGGGTGAGGGACGCGGGTGAGATGGAGTGGGTGAGTGGGAAGTTGTTTAAAACGCCTGAAACATCAAGGGAAGAGGCTAGGATAGACGAGTGGGCGAGTGAAGGTGCATGTATGCACGGTGCAGCTCCAACAACACACTTTGCCATAGGTGGCAGATTGAGTTGACTCTGACAGTGACGCAAAAGATGAGGAGGAGAGGAGCCTAAAGGAGAAGGGAAGAGCAGACGGGCTGATGAACGCAGTGAGAGGCAAGAGGGCGCGTGGAGTGGAGTGGAATGGAGCTGACAGTTTGACAAGGGCCTTGAGGTTCCACAGGGAGTCGGGGATGGAGCCATCGAGATCGTTGTTGGCCATCTCCCTGGGCAAGAGATCGAGGGGAGGGGAGAACGGGTTGCAGGAGCGCGAGGGGCGAGGGCGGTGTGTGTGAGTGAGGAGGGCGGAAAACAGAGTGAGCGAGGAAGGGAGGGTGGCAGCGCAGAGAAGAGTGGACGAAATATCAACCTCATGCTTCTTGAGCTTTTGAGACGTCCCAAATGACCTCATGCTTCTGGAGCGTACACCTGACATGAATTAAAGCTCTCTTCAAGCTGTTTCAAACCCATGGAGACGACTGAGTCTGAGGGAGCACACGCTTGCAGCAAGAAGAGGAGCGAGGGTCTTCCGAAAGTGGTTGGGAGTTACGCACAGGGATGTGAGACGCGAGAGGAGACCGAGGGAGGACGGGATGGCACCGGTGAGACGGTCCTGTGTGGCAGATTGGTTGACCCTGGGCGCTGCACTCAGGTCTCTGCCATGCACCATGCAACGCCATGCAATGCCATGCATCGCCAGTCATGGAATGCCACACATGCAGTGATGCAACGCCATGCATGCAGTGTTGAATGGAGATGCCATGCCATGCCAGGAGACAGAGTGCGTGAGATGAGACAGGCGGCATTCACCATGCCAAGGAGTAGTCAGTCAACCATCAAGTCAGCATGCCCACGCCGCCGTGCAGAATAACCTCGGCAAGGACAAGTGCAAGAGCAAGTGCAAGAGCAAGTGGAAGAGCAAGTGCAAGAGCAAGTGGAAGAGCAAGTGCAAGAGCAAGTGGAGAAGAAACAGCTGGTAACACAAGCCCCCAACGTCACAGCAGCTCCTCTGACCCACCACACCGCACTCACACCAAGCTGGCTCTCACCCATCCCCTTCCCCCTCTCAACCTGCCCACCCCATCCGTCGTGGTGCTCACAGCTCTTCCAGCAGCAGCAGGCGACCCACAGCAGCCGGCACGGGCCCATGCAAGACGTTCCACCCCAGGCGCCTGGTGGGGGCCGTCAGCAGGGGAGAGACCACGCGGGCAATGAGAGGGCAATGAGTGCATCGCAACACAGGGCGTGAGGTTCGTCATTCGTTCATTCTCTTTCTGCGTGGTGCGGGGTTCTTGTGGTTTGCATGTTTCTGGCACAGAGCAGCAGCAGCATCGCCTGCGGTGTCTGGAGTGAGGCATGGAACGTGGGTGGAAATGCGTGGCATGGCGCATGTGGTGTGGTGGGGCATGGTGGGGCATGGTGGGGCATTGTGGGGCATGGGGGGGCATGGTGGGGCATGGTGGGGCGACTCACAGTTGCTTCAGTTGGGACAGCTTGCTGATGTCATCAGGTATGGAGCCAGAGAGCGAGTTATCACTCAAGTCACTGCAAGAACAAAAAGGGGGGGGAAGGGGAGAACAACGGCCTTGACCAAGATATAATCAGGCTATGGGTAAGGTGTGTAAAATTGGAAGCAAGGCACAGAGTGTGGTTGGCTTGGCGCCATGCCGTGCCACAGCAGCACCTCAACATGAGCAGGCAGTGGTGTAAGCAGAGTGGCGGCTCATAATCGCCTCACACCACACGTGTAGCCATCAAAGCAAAGCAATAGCATCTCATTTGGTGAGTAGGCAATAGCACCACGATCACAGCACAGCACAGCATGAGTTCGTTTTGGCAGCATGCACGCACAGCGCAGTGAGGCTCGTGAGGGAGAAGAGGGAGGCAGGGATAGAGCCCTCGAGAGTAGACCCGAACACACTCATGCCCCGCAGCCTCCTGCACCACGGACGCACACGCAGAGACACACGCACAGGGGAAGTGAGGCACAACAAGACATGAATGGTGCACACGACGAGAGGAGGAAGTAAGCGGAAGAAGCAATCAAGCCATGCATGCGTGGTGATGGGTGTGCGTGTATGCGTGTCCACGGGTAGCATGCGTAGCACAGCCAGGGGCGCCAGACATTACGATGGATGGACAGGACACAAACGCGTGCACTGTGTTGGGGCGAAGAAGCCTGCAGCAGTGCAGACTGGTGGGCATGGATGGAGGTGTAAGCACTGACAGCGTATTGAGACGAGAGAGCTCCGCAAGGGAGGCAGGGATGGAACCCGATAGCATGTTGAGGCTTATGTCCCTGGTTGCAGGAACGCAGCAACAGCCAAAGGGTGTGACACGCACGAGGAGGGCAAGGAGATGAAGAAGAGTCAGAATGGTGTTAACTGTTAAATAAGGAAGAGTAGGAGGAATACGCCTAAAGGGAGATTTACTGATGCGGAAACCTCGCCAGCTTGCGAATTCAAAGGGAAAAAAATTGCATGACAGTTTGTTTTGAAGAGAAGGTGGCGGTGTTGTGTGGTGAAGGCGTGACAGGAGTCCCTTACAGGAAGGTGAGGCTGTCCAGTGCTGTGAGATTGGCGGGCAGCGGACCATTGAACAGGTTCCACCGCAGATTGCTGCACGAGGAGGCGGGGGAGGAAGTAAAGCGCATTGCGAAAAGGAAGACTGGCCGCGGTGAGACTAAGAAGGGAGGTCTGAGCAGAAAGAAAATAGCAGAAAAGAGCAGAAAAGAGCAGAAAGGTGCGCGGAGAGAGAAGCATGCAGGCGAGCCCTGGTGGTCAGCCTGCGCAACACTGCCCTAGTGGATGCGATCCCCGGCATAAGCCTCTCGTGGGCACTGCCGCACTCACAGGTGAAGCAGGTTGGGCAGGAGTTGCAGCGAGGAGAGGAACGGGCCTCCCATCTGGTTGTAGCTCAAATCGCTGTGTTTGACAGGGGAGGAGGAGTGGTGGGTGGCATGGCAGTTGATGAGAGGAGGAGAGGCAACGAGAGACAGTTCCCAGTCCAGGTAGTGACGACAGAGCACGTGGGGTGAGAAGAATGAGAGATTAATAAAGAGCGTGCTGTGGATGGACATGGACGGCCCTCGTGCTTGACAGACGCAGGGGAAGGCGTGCAGGAGCACATGTGAAACGCGAGTGAAAGGCAAAGGATGAGACGCATGCACAGCACGCCGTGACGTGTCGAGCAAACCTAGACCACCACACATTGTGACCGAACGAGACTGGTAGGCTAAGGTTAGGAAGGAGAGGGACGAGGAGCACGAGGAAGATGAAGAGAAGGCAGCCTTACAGGACGGAGAGAGACGAGAGGCGGAGCAGGGGGGAGAGGTCAGTCTCTGATATGCCATTGCTGTCGCCCAGATAGTGAAGGTTGAAACTCATGTTGCTGGAAGGAGAAGGGGCATAAAAGGCGGGTGGAGCAATCGTTGCCATAATTTGAGTAAAACATGCCAAGGCTCAAGCAACACTGAGACGGTGCACAACAAAAATTGCCTACTTCTCAACGAAAACGCAATGGTATCCCGGTGCAACGCGCATGGAGCACCGTGCAAGAGGGGTGGAGGGGCCCAGGAAGCGGACGCGTGTTGGAAGGTTAGGTGAGGACAGGGGAGCATGAAACATTGGTTCATGTGTTTACCCATGTGTGTGGCATGTGGCAAGGGGCAAACGGAATATGACATGCCCTGCGGGGCACTCACAGGTGTGAGAGGAGTGAGAGAGCGGAGAGGGAAGCAGGCAAAGAGCCGTTGAGATTGTTGTCGCTCACGTCCCTGCAGCACACCGTCACACGCGAACAGAGAGACAGGGCGGTTGCTGATAGTGAAAGAGGGGGAAAATTGGACCTGGGAAGTTGCAGAGTATGGAGGGCAGGCCACACAGAGATGTGATTATCAATGCATTGAGGCAACAGCACTCGCATGCAAGAAGGAACGGAAGGGAAGCAGCGAGGAGGAGTTGATGCACGCACAGATAGGCGAGGTGGTGGAGCAGGCCGAGCGAGGACGGCAGAGAGCCGCCCAGGGTGTTGCTGCTAAGATCACTGTGAGCGCAGGAGAAGAGGAACGGGGAGGGAGTGGTGGCAAGTTGAGAGACGCAAGAGAGGCAAGAGCGAGTGCTGGGCACAAGCCATAGGGCAGACGGCACAAGGCACATGGTGCATGGCGCACACAGCGCACATGTCATAGCAAGGCACTCACGCGACACATGGGCACAGCATGTGGTGTGGAAGTATGGGGTGCGGCACCGGTACTGACAGCATGGTGAGCGCTGTGAGATGGCCGATGGCGGCCGGAATGGGTCCATGCAGGCGCTCGTTAGGGAGATACCTGCCATGCCATGCCATGCGAGTGCCACGCATGGGGTGACCATGCCGTTGGGTGGCATGGGAGCACAGGGGGACTTCTGAGACGTCTCAACAGGAGTACAGCGGGAAGGACGGAGAAGGAAAGAAGTAGAGGAGGGAGGAAAGAGGGGTTCTCAAAAGAGTGGGGGGAGGGGCAATGAGAGGGGAGGGGACGAGGTTTGAGGGGGCAGGAGCGGGGGGTACAGGAGAAGCACGAGAGCCATGTGAAGGTCGATTTATCTCGAGTGCTAATACGCTAAGCACAAGCGCGACGTGGAGGAGGGAGCAAGAGCGCGCCACTGTTGTGTGGCAGTGGCAGCACTGGGCACTCACATGCTCACGATCCGCCCCTGCGCGTCACACGCCAGCCCCTGCGCCTGAGCGCAGTCGCCCCCTTCCGCCCACTGGCTCCAGCTCACCCCCCAGTCGCGCTGTACCTCCGCCAGAACCGCGCCTGGTGGGGACGAGGGGGAAGGTGCGATCGTGGAGGGGAGGTGAGGGGGTACGCTGGTGAGCTAGGTAGTGGGTTGGAGTTGGAATGTGCTCGGAGTAATGAAGCTGAGGGAGGAAAAGCAGCAACATTCTCCGCCTTTTCACCTTGTGAAGCATCGAAGAGGGTAAAGGTCGGAAATGGCTGGGCCTGGGCGTGTAACGGGGACACTGCGGACAGCAGCAGCAGTGCCAGCAGCAGTAAGAGCAGCAGCGCGGGGATACGGCGCGGCGAGCAGCATAACCCTCGAGTTGCAGCTGGCGCTGCAGCTGCTGCGGGTGTCTGTGCATGAGGCATCACTACTGACACACGGGTCATTGTCTTGCCACTGGGAAACCCTAGAACTGGGCTACACGCAGCAGCAGCTGCTGGGAAGGAAACACGCGGTGCGCGGCGTTCCCGAGGGCCACTAGAGTTGCCGAGGCCTGTACAAGACGAGCGCCGGATCAGATTGCAGAAGGGGCAATGCGAGCGAAGGAGAGCGAGAGAGGGAAGGAACAGAATTCCCTGGTGCCTGTAGGCTGGCCTTGTGACGGACCCTGAAAGGTCGCCCATTAAGTACAAAACTCGCACCATGCGTTTCCCGAACAAGATCCTGTCGAACGGGAACAGGAAGCCTGACGGCCTAGCGCGTCGCGGATTCGCGCGATTGCTGCACGCCACCGCCGTTGACTGCGTTGACTGCACGCGCCGCTCAGGCAAGTCGAACAAACAGGCAACCCTGTTTCGTGAGCCATGCCACTAAACGACAACACCGCCTAAGGCAAGAGAAGATCTACCAGCTGTGGACGGATCCTCTGTCACAAGGCGAATCAACTGTACAGTTCAGTTTCTTGACTGCAAGCACGGGATCGACGATGCACCCGTGAGAATGATCGCAGCTGAGTCTCCTACACGTCACCGCGACTTAGTGGCCGGCCGGTCGGCCCGTGAATAGTGCGTTCGCGTGAGCAACACGCTAAGACGCCTTCTGTAACCGTCGTTCTGGTGGCTTGATCGACGGCCCCAGAGACAGTTACAGCAAGGGAGGCATTTGTCGGCTGACATACATTAGGCAGACGAGAGCAGCCGAGGTGAAGGGTAATGCTGACAAGAGCAGCAAGGGGACCAAGCTGTGGTGTGATGCTGATGAAAGAGGGCAGGGGGAGAGGGAGGGAGTGTCGGCTCGCGGGTTGCTTCTTCTTCACGCCTCCTCCAGGGATTCGCCTGGCGGAAAAGTGCTTGTGTTGTGAGGGTGAGGGAACATTCTGATAAGGATAGGGTAGTTCTGCTGTGTGCACTGATACGGTAAGCACACCCCGTACAGATGCCAAAAGCATTTTGACTTCTCTGTTCAGTCAAAAGCTCTTCTCACCCAATAAATAAATCGTTCTGCCTGTGGAAAAGCCATAACACATTCAAGCATAATCAATTTACATAACATACAGTAGTTAACCATAGGTCCAGCATTGCAAGTGTAACAACCCAGGAGTAGTGTGTGCTGTCTATGGTCAAATCAGGGCGAGGAAGAGTGAGCATTGTCAATGGGATGAAGTTACCAAACCCTTCACTTGGCAGCACCCTACACAGGTTGAAAGAAAGTCGTGGTGAGAACAGTTCAAACAATCCTGTTACCACATACAACACTCCTAACCAGATGCTTCTTTAAACTCCCCAAATCACTACCACCACCAGCACTCCTCATCAGCCCACTTCCTACTCTCAACCTTGCTTACTCCCTTCTCAGGTTCCAGCCCAGCAGAACCCATGAGAGCAGCCAGGGTTCCCTCAACCCAGCGCCAGCTCCACAGCATCACGAAAACCACGAGCACCACATTACCAGTCCATCCCCTGCACGTGACACTGAACAGCAGCAACCACCAATGATACACCCACTGCAGACCTCACTCCCCAGCCACCTGAAAGCTTCCCCCTGCAGCACCACCCACTTGAAAGCACTTCTCCGCTCACACCACCCACCTGGCAGCTTCCTGTTCGAAGGCCAGGCCGCGCACGTTGTCGCTCTTGAAGAGCATCCAACGCGGCTTGCTGTCCTCCCTCGCTGCCCACGGCCCAAACACCGTCACCTGCCGCGGGTCCTGCACGAGCCGCCGCAGGCTGGGCAGCAGGTGCGAGCCTGGGAGGGCCGTGGCACGCACAGGGGCATGGGGAGCACAGACGCATGGGAATGACGACGCCCATGAGACAAACGTGCAATGCTTGCATGCACACAAGAGACAGCAGCAGGTGCAGCAAAGGAGATTCAAGCCATGCGAATAACCCAAACCAACACAGCAAACCCACACAGACAAGCTTGCTAGGCGGTACGAAACTCATGAGCAAAATTTCTGAACACTAGAAATAGAAAAAAAAAAGATTTCACTCACGAGCAACGCGTGCATAGTCCTGCGCAGTGTCCAATGTGATGAGGTCATGCAGCGAGGAGCCGTAGGCGGCGAGGCGGAAGGGCGTGTCTGGGCGGCTCACCACCTCACCCCCCGTGAGGCTCGTGTTGTACATCCACCCTGGTAGCACCTCATGCACTGCCCCCATGTGCGACGCGTACGTCAGATTGAACAGGTAAGTGCGCCCACGCATGCTCACATTGAACCTGCGACAAAACATTCACAAGAGCAGGCTGAGAAGAAACTCCAGGAGCTACAGCAGCGGCTTCTGGTCCGCTGTTGACAGTGCAGAGGCCAGAGCAGCAAAGACTCTCCCACATCACCGTTGATCCCCCCACCATACGACTGACCTGCCTCGCTCAAATAGGCCAAGACCCCACTAGTCAACTCAGCTTCTCAGGCCGGGGAGTCCACAGGGGAGCGGTGTGACTCACTGTTGGCGTGTGAAGCCGTTGTGTAGCCCTCCGTAGAAGGTGAAGACGGGTGGGGGGAAGAGCACGGGCGTGCGCAGTAGCTCCCCACTGCCGTCCGTGTGATTGGTGGTCTTGGGGAGGCTTTGCAACCCGTGAAACGCCTGCCAGGGTGATGGGCGTTCAATTGTGTGGTGCGGTGCAGGGCCAAGGGATGGAGTGTGGTGAAGGGTGGAAGGATGCAAGATGTAGCGTAGCGTAGACACGATCACAGGGCAAGGATAGGAACGAGGCGACACTGCACTCAGGCCGTGCAATGCAATGCAACACAAGCGTGCAAGAGCAAGTTGCAGGAGAGCATGCAGAGAGACACATGCCTGCAGGTCGCCCCCCATGGAGCTCAGATACGCCCCGCGTGTGCGGTTGACCAGGAAGTGCGTGAGGAAGCCAAAGAAGAAGCGCATCTCGGAGTCACCTGCACACACACCACCACGGGGAGGAATGGAGGGCAACCCAGAAGAGGGCGACATGCACTGACGCACGTGGGACTAGCCAGCTGTCCCCCAAACCCAAGCACTCCTGATAACCCAAAATCTAGTCAGCAGTAAGGAACTTGTAACTCGTTCAGAGGCCATCATTCTTTTGGTGCTTTTCCCTGGAGCACAGACGAGCAAGTACCCATGATGAGGACGTTTTTATGGCCATGATGAGGACATGGCGGTGGAAGCAGGAGAGGGCATCGACGGGGGTGACAGTGCGCAGGCGGCAGGCGTGGGGCATCCACTTGTGCTGCAACCAGTACCCCTGGTTGCCGTGCACGCGCAGCATGTCTGCCGTGCACCATGGCAGAAGGGCGCTGGTGGGTGCATGCGCAAGGAGGGATTGGAGGGCACAGACGGAGGAAGGAAACAGGAGAACCTCAAACGAAATGAAAGGTTCAAATCCGTAGCCAGAGTAGAGCAGAACAGAGCATACCAGAGCACAGCACAGAAGAGCAGAGTGTCAGAGCCAAGCGGAGCAGACGCAACAGCACAGCAGGCAGTGCAGAACAGAACTGACCTTGTGGCAGGGCATGTGGCTGTACTCACCGGAGTGCTAGGGGGAAGTACGTTGGAGGGGCCACCACCCGGATCACTCGAGCAAACACCTGCTCGTACCTGGGCAAGGGGCAGGCAAAGGGCAGGTCGAGAGATGTCATGCAACAGGCACGCACAGGTGGTGACGCCTGTTTCAATGCACACCACACCCAAGCTCCCATGCTCCCATGCTCCCATGTTCCCATCCCACCAGGTTCACCCAGCGTACTCGGCATAGCCGTGGTTGAATGCTGGGGAGCGGGTGGAGCGCAGCTGGAAGGCATTGGTGAAGAGCAGATGCAGCGACAGCAAGTAGGGGCCGGGCACCGGTGCTGTGAAGCACACCTGGGGGGACGCAAGCAGCAAGCAACAGAACAAGCTGCATCGGGCATAAGAACAACGCAGGGAACAGCCTGCCTGTGCTCTCACGAGAGCATACCTAGCAGGAGGGAGAAGGTGAGTGGGAAGATGAGGAGCAAGTGGAGTGATGTGGATGTGTGGAACGGGAGAGTAGGCGAGCGGGGGAAGGGGGGAGAGTGGGTTTAGCAGCAGAGGAGAGTGGCGGTGAGACAATCACCTGGTGGGAGGATGAGGCATGGTGGTAGTTGACTTGAGCTGCCAGTCGCAGGTCCGTCCACCCCTTGAGTGAATCGGCCTTTGCAGGAACCTCTGTCAATCTAGCAGATCTCATCGTCCTATGCTGCTGCTCCTCACCCTCGCCTTGCCTGCTGCTGCTGCTGTTGCTGCTGCTGTTGCTGCTGCTGCTGCTGGTGCTGCTGTTGTTGGATTCCAGCCTCAGAAGAGCCACGAAGAAAGCACGCTGCCTGCAAAATTGGTCACCGTGAACGGCGAGGAAGAAGAGTCCTTGCAATCATTACCTGCGTGAATGATGCTCCTGCACTAGTCACCATGTCTTGCGATTACACATGGGTGATGCGGTGGAGAGCAAGATGAGTGGGTGCTGTGAGGAGGGCAATGGGTGGAGCTCACATGCAGCCTGAGTCAAACGGATGTCCAGCCTTGTCATAGGCTGCACCGACACACACACGCACATACAAACGAACAGGTACGTGCACATCTGATTATTACTATACCCTGTACCCAATAAGGAAAATAGAGATGGACAGAATTCTCTGCGTGTACGTTAAAGTTTCTTCCTCCCTTCTAAAGAAAGAAAGAAGCACCTGCCTTCCATAGCACCCTCTTCTCCCCACCCTTCCCGTCTCACGTGTCAAAACAAAGCTACTGCATTCGCATGCCGACTTCCTCTCCTTGATCGTCCCGTCCCACCTGTCACGGAGAAGCACGTGCGGTGGTTGGCTACAGCCCACTCCGCCCCCGCCCCTTTCACCTCCACTCGCCCGAACCTCGCTGCCTTCGTAACGTCCCAACCCTCCCCCGCCCGCCGCTCCTCCTCCAACCCGCACTCTCCTTCCGCCCCCTCCTCTTCGCCCTTCACTTTCTCCCTCCCTTCCCCCTTCTTCCCCCTCGCATCCCCCAGTTCCGGCCATGCTGTTTCTGCAGTTACTGGAATAAAACGAGCGCAGAGACAAGGGAAGAGAACACGGGGATTCTTGACTGCGAACGTGGAAAACGAGACTCGTGAAAGTCGACATAAGTTGACAAACCCACCGTAGCGCTCTCAAATGGCGGAGTGTGTCTGAAATCAAGAACCGTACATGTGAAGATGCCGCTTTTAAAGGTCGGCGAGTGCAGCAACGAGTTAATGGCGCTGAAGGTGAGTAGCGACAGGAGCATAAAGCCGGCTATACCGCGTCTCTTCCTCCCACATAGCAATACCACCTCGTCCCAAGCGCTTCTTTTGATCGTCATGACGTTTCCCTGCAACCTTGACTCTCCTTGCGCGCGGGGCTGCGGTGCGCGCAGACGGCCCCACGAACGAGTGGCGCCTCCCAATCGCATCATGGCTTTTAGAAAACACACGGTGTTGCTGCTCCCGGCAATCAGCCCACCAAGGGACGTTACTGGATAAGCAGCAGGCAGCGGACACGCGGCCTGGAGAGAAGAATCTGGGTCGTGGCGATTCAATGACCAACAGGCCTAAACGGAGCGAGGACTACTAGTATGGCTGCTGCTACGACGGGCGACAACTAGTATGGCTGTGAGGGGAAGCGACAATGCCCTAACAGTTGGAAATTTCGAGCCGCCACGCCATAAACGGCTTCACGGTTATCGCATGCTGCGTGCGACGCGCGGCGAGGACACGCAATACCAACGTGGAACCGCGTTGCATAAGATAACGAATCGTTTATCAATCCGGAGTCACCCGAGTTTGTAACCAACACTACTGCTGAATGCTGAACTCAGTGAGGTACGCTCTTATTGCCGCCGACTCAAATCACGACGATATGTAATGCCGAGCGAAGAGTCGACGAGACGACATGGTGACTCTGAGCGACGCAGCGTCACTAGGATGGCTGATTGCGGATAAGAAGGCTAATATGAATATGCACGAGCGGGGATCACTAAAACGCGGGAGTTGTTACTGGACATATGTAATTCGAGTTCCTATCTTGCTGGGCTGAGACAGCTGATGCTGTTCATCCGCAGTTGCACGGCGTAAAGGCGGATCGCACGGCCTGCAATAGGTCCTCCAACAGCGGGTGGGGTAGGTTGGAGCTGGCATGAGTGGGTGGTGTTCGAGGGAGGGAGGATACTCTCTGGTCGGACCTGGCCTGTATTGACACCACGACATAAAACGAGAGCCTAATCATAAGATTGATTCAGTATTACAACCATTTGGATTAAAATAGCAGATACTTTGAGTCTGTAAGCAATTCGCCTTCTGCGGGCTTGATGTGAAGCCTTGCCTCTTACATGGCTGCCAGTCAATGGAGATGACGTATCTGGCCTGAAGCCTCATTTCCTGGGCATTCAAGGTCTTTGGTGTTGAACATGAGGCCTTCATCTGTCTTGAGTGTTGAAAGACTTGGATGTTGAACATGTTGAGCGCTGAAGGCCTTGGTTGTTGAATTTTCTTGAGTGGACGCCAGAGGATGTTGGATGTGGAGCCTTGAGAAGAGCATCTGCCAGTCAAGGAGGGAAGGATCAGGAAGAATTAGTACAAGCAGCAGTGGAGGAGTCAAGGGAAAACATAAAAGTGCATAATGTCTGGTATGAGCATGAAGTAGCATGCATGCATGATAGCTTACCACAGCTAACACAGGAGCCATGTACCAAACCTGAACACCTGAGGGGACCTGACCTTAACCTAAACCAGGGAATGGCTCATGTGAAGCGTGGTTCGCCGGCAGCGGGCATGAGATGCATGAGGGAGCGGGAATGGCATGCAGTGATGAAAAGCAAGAATAAAGGGAAGTGCGAAAACTGGGTTAAAAAAACTGAGCAGGAGACGACTTATGTGGTATGTGTAGGTAGTAAACATCTTGAGCATTGAAGGACTTGGGTGTTGAACATCTTAAGCGTTGTGGTCTTTAATGTTGAACGTCTTGAGCGTCGAAAGCCTTGGATGTTGAACATGTTGAGCGCTGAAGGCCTTGGTTGTTGAACTTCTTGAGTGGAGACGCCAGAGGGTGTTGGTTGTGGAGCCTTGAGAAGAGCACCTGCCAGTCAAGGAGGAAAGGATCAGGAAGAATTAGCACAAGCGGCAGTGGAGGATTCAAGGGAAAAAAACATAAAAGTGCATGATGACCGGTATGAGCATTATGTGCATGCATGATAGCTTACCACAGCTAACACAGGAGCCATGTACCAAACCTGAACACCTGAGGGGACCTGACCTTAACCTTGACCTTCACCTTAACCAGGAAACGGCTCATGTGAAGCGTGGTTCGCTGGCAGCGAGCATGAGATGCATGAGGGAGCGGGAATGGCATGCAGTGATGAAAACTGGGTTTAAAAAACTGGAGTAGGAGACGACTTATCTGGTATGTGTAGGTAGTAAACATCTTGAGCATTGAAGGACTTGGGTGTTGAACGCCTTAAGCGTTGAGGTCTTTAATGTTGAACGTCTTGAGCGTTGAAAGACTTGGATGTTGAACATGTTGAGCGCTGAAGGCCTTGGTTGTTGAACTTCTTGAGTGGAGACGCCAGAGGGTGTTGGTTGTGGAGCCTTGAGAAGAGCACCTGCCAGTCAAGGAGGAAAGGATCAGGAAGAATTAGTACAAGCGGCAGTGGAGAATTCAAGGGGAAAAAACATAAAAGTGCATGATGACCGGTATGAGCATGAAGTGCATGCATGATAGCTTACCACAGCTAACACAGGAGCCATGTACCAAACCTGAACACCTGAGGGGACCTGACCTTAACCTTGACCTTCACCTTAACCAGGAAACGGCTCATGTGAAGCGCGGTTCGCTGGCAGCGAGCATGAGATGCATGAGGGAGCGGGAATGGCATGCAGTGATGAAAACGGGGTTTAAAAAACTGGAGTAGGAGACGACTTATCTGGTATGTGTAGGTAGTAAACATCTTGAGCATTGAAGGACTTGGGTGTTGAACGCCTTAAGCGTTGAGGTCTTTAATGTTGAACGTCTTGAGCGTTGAAAGACTTGGATGTTGAACATGTTGAGCGCTGAAGGCCTTGGTTGTTGAACTTCTTGAGTGGAGACGCCAGAGGGTGTTGGTTGTGGAGCCTTGAGAAGAGCACCTGCCAGTCAAGGAGGAGGAAAGGATCAGGAAGAATTAGTACAAGCGGCAGTGGAGAATTCAAGGGGAAAAAACATAAAAGTGCATGATGACCGGTATGAGCATGAAGTGCATGCATGATAGCTTACCACAGCTAACACAGGAGCCATGTACCAAACCTGAACACCTGAGGGGACCTGACCTTAACCTTGACCTTCACCTTAACCAGGAAACGGCTCATGTGAAGCGTGGTTCGCTGGCAGCGAGCATGAGATGCATGAGGGAGCGGGAATGGCATGCAGTGATGAAAACTGGGTTTAAAAAACTGGAGTAGGAGACGACTTATCTGGTATGTGTAGGTAGTAAACATCTTGAGCATTGAAGGACTTGGGTGTTGAACGCCTTCAGCGTTGAGGTCTTTAATGTTGAACGTCTTGAGCGTTGAAAGACTTGGATGTTGAACATGTTGAGCGCTGAAGGCCTTGGTTGTTGAACTTCTTGAGTGGAGACGCCAGAGGGTGTTGGTTGTGGAGCCTTGAGAAGAGCACCTGCCAGTCAAGGAGGAAAGGATCAGGAAGAATTAGTACAAGCGGCAGTGGAGAATTCAAGGGAAAAAAAACATAAAAGTGCATGATGACCGGTATGAGCATGAAGTGCATGCATGATAGCTTACCACAGCTAACACAGGAGCCATGTACCAAACCTGAACACCTGAGGGGACCTGACCTTAACCTTGACCTTCACCTTAACCAGGAAACGGCTCATGTGAGGTGTGGTTCGCTGGCAGCGAGCATGAGATGCATGAGTAAGCGGGAATGACATGCAGTGATGAAAACTGGGTTTTAAAAACTGGAGTAGGAGACGACTTATCTGGTATGTGTAGGTAGTAAACATCTTGAGCATTGAAGGACTTGGGTGTTGAACGCCTTAAGCGTTGAGGTCTTTAATGTTGAACGTCTTGAGCGTTGAAAGACTTGGATGTTGAACATGTTGAGCGCTGAAGGCCTTGGTTGTTGAACTTCTTGAGTGGAGACGCCAGAGGGTGTTGGTTGTGGAGCCTTGAGAAGAGCACCTGCCAGTCAAGGAGGAAAGGATCAGGAAGAATTAGTACAAGCGGCAGTGGAGAATTCAAGGGGAAAAAACATAAAAGTGCATGATGACCGGTATGAGCATGAAGTGCATGCATGATAGCTTACCACAGCTAACACAGGAGCCATGTACCAAACCTGAACACCTGAGGGGACCTGACCTTAACCTTGACCTTCACCTTAACCAGGAAACGGCTCATGTGAAGCGTGGTTCGCTGGCAGCGAGCATGAGATGCATGAGGGAGCGGGAATGGCATGCAGTGATGAAAACTGGGTTTAAAAAACTGGAGTAGGAGACGACTTATCTGGTATGTGTAGGTAGTAAACATCTTGAGCATTGAAGGACTTGGGTGTTGAACGCCTTAAGCGTTGAGGTCTTTAATGTTGAACGTCTTGAGCGTTGAAAGACTTGGATGTTGAACATGTTGAGCGCTGAAGGCCTTGGTTGTTGAACTTCTTGAGTGGAGACGCCAGAGGGTGTTGGTTGTGGAGCCTTGAGAAGAGCACCTGCCAGTCACGGAGGAAAGGATCAGGAAGAATTAGTACAAGCGGCAGTGGAGAATTCAAGGGGAAAAAACATAAAAGTGCATGATGACCGGTATGAGCATGAAGTGCATGCATGATAGCTTACCACAGCTAACACAGGAGCCATGTACCAAACCTGAACACCTGAGGGGACCTGACCTTAACCTTGACCTTCACCTTAACCAGGAAACGGCTCATGTGAAGCGTGGTTCGCTGGCAGCGAGCATGAGATGCATGAGGGAGCGGGAATGGCATGCAGTGATGAAAACTGGGTTTAAAAAACTGGAGTAGGAGACGACTTATCTGGTATGTGTAGGTAGTAAACATCTTGAGCATTGAAGGACTTGGGTGTTGAACGCCTTCAGCGTTGAGGTCTTTAATGTTGAACGTCTTGAGCGTTGAAAGACTTGGATGTTGAACATGTTGAGCGCTGAAGGCCTTGGTTGTTGAACTTCTTGAGTGGAGACGCCAGAGGGTGTTGGTTGTGGAGCCTTGAGAAGAGCACCTGCCAGTCAAGGAGGAGGAAAGGATCAGGAAGAATTAGTACAAGCGGCAGTGGAGAATTCAAGGGGAAAAAACATAAAAGTGCATGATGACCGGTATGAGCATGAAGTGCATGCATGATAGCTTACCACAGCTAACACAGGAGCCATGTACCAAACCTGAACACCTGAGGGGACCTGACCTTAACCTTGACCTTCACCTTAACCAGGAAACGGCTCATGTGAAGCGTGGTTCGCTGGCAGCGAGCATGAGATGCATGAGGGAGCGGGAATGGCATGCAGTGATGAAAACTGGGTTTAAAAAACTGGAGTAGGAGACGACTTATCTGGTATGTGTAGGTAGTAAACATCTTGAGCATTGAAGGACTTGGGTGTTGAACGCCTTAAGCGTTGAGGTCTTTAATGTTGAACGTCTTGAGCGTTGAAAGACTTGGATGTTGAACATGTTGAGCGCTGAAGGCCTTGGTTGTTGAACTTCTTGAGTGGAGACGCCAGAGGGTGTTGGTTGTGGAGCCTTGAGAAGAGCACCTGCCAGTCAAGGAGGAAAGGATCAGGAAGAATTAGTACAAGCGGCAGTGGAGAATTCAAGGGAAAAAAAACATAAAAGTGCATGATGACCGGTATGAGCATGAAGTGCATGCATGATAGCTTACCACAGCTAACACAGGAGCCATGTACCAAACCTGAACACCTGAGGGGACCTGACCTTAACCTTGACCTTCACCTTAACCAGGAAACGGCTCATGTGAGGTGTGGTTCGCTGGCAGCGAGCATGAGATGCATGAGTAAGCGGGAATGACATGCAGTGATGAAAACTGGGTTTTAAAAACTGGAGTAGGAGACGACTTATCTGGTATGTGTAGGTAGTAAACATCTTGAGCATTGAAGGACTTGGGTGTTGAACATCTTAAGCGTTCAGGTCTTTTATGTTGAACGTCTTGAGCGTTGAAAGACTTGAATGTTGAACATGTTGAGAGCAGAAGGCCTTGGTTGTTGAACTTCTTGAGTGGAGACGCCAGAGGGTGTTGGTTGTGGAGCCTTGAGAAGAGCATCTGCCATCAAAGGAGGAAAGGATAGGGAAGAGTGAGTACAAGCAGCAGTCGAGGATCCAGTGGAATCAAACATGAACAAGAAAAAACCACAGCATGAGGATGAAGTAGCATGCATGCATGATAGCTTACCACAGCTAAAAAAAGAGCCATGTA